GCCCCCTTCAAATTTTTTTTTTCTATAATTTAACTTGTTCAATTTTTTATTCCCCTTTTTCTAAATTTTGATAACCAGCTGGTTCCTTATAATATTCATTTTTTCATGATACAATTATTGTAAATAACGTAATGAGTTTAGGAACAGGTACTCTGATATTGTGGACTACATTTTTTAATATTTGTTATAATGCACATTTTTCATAATTATTTTTTTTTTAATTTTCCAAACGGATTTGCCCGTGGGCGTCCATGCCCCCCTTTCCCATTTATTTTTAAAATTGAATTCTATCTGAGTTTATCATATTTTTTTTATTTTGATTCTTAAAATGCATTTGCCCACGGGCGCCCATTACCCCCCTTCAAATTTTTTTTTCTATAATTTAAATCTAGTTCAATTTTTTATTCACATGTTTTAAATTTTATCAACCAGCTGGTTCCTTAAAATATTCATTTTCTCATGATATTAGCTAGAGTTTTAAATAAAAGCTATATAAAAAAAATATATATAGTATTCAATATTTGATATGCTGATATATATAATTTATTTATTTTATTTAATCATAGACTTATTATAGTATATTTGTTCGGACAGTTCGGTGTTGATTAACATAACTAAAGTTTGTGTTAGAATTATGAGTTTATTTGCAGAATTGAATTTATTTACTATTGTTCTTTATCTGTAATTGAAGCCCTTTGGATAGGCAATTAGGATGATGTCAACAAGTAAAGATCACTAGCATAATAATCTTTGGTAGATCAAGAAATTTCTAATAAATAGGATAGTATTATAATAATTAGTAATATAGTATCAACACTTTGGCCATTCATGAAGTTAATGGATTATGAAATCTTAAAAATTATTTTTATGAAAGAATTGATCATCACTTTTATAATATGGGTAAAGTTTTTAATAAAAAATAAGACTGTGTCTTCTATTTCAATACTTGTAAAACAACTTATACAAGTTTCCCTTTATGTTGTATTAATGATTGAATGCAATACATTTATACACTTCAGCAGTTCAGCGTATAAAAATGTATTTATTCATATATTTTTTCTTACGATTCACAGTATTAGGTTCACAAGTAAATCGTTTGAACTTTAAATTATATTAAATTAAATTTACAATGCAAAGCTTATCTAATGAATAGATCAATAATTAAAAAAAATTATTTATGGACTATCTTACATACTACATAGTTGCTGCGTTTTAGTGAACATAAATAAAATTAGATCAAAATGAACTATAATATTAAACATGGCGGTCCAGTAGTTTCTTGCATAAGGTGTATGCAAAATACTGGCCCAACTTGTACTAACAAACATTTTCTGAGTACAGAAAATATAAAATGCACCAACTAGTAAAATGGTTGATAAAAAATATTTAAGATATGTAATTTCAACAAATAATACAAAACAGGCCACTATTTAGAAAATAACCATTATTATTAAACACAATTATACAAATATAGCAGTTTCTTACTAAATAAATGCATTAAATGTTGATACATGATATTTTTTTTTTATTATTAATATAGGAATAGATAAATAAATATTGTAAGCATAAAAAATACAGATTATTTTGATTATTTGGATTTTGGATTTGTATGTTTAAATCGTTTTTTATTCATTGTTGCTCGAAAACCCTTATTTGCTTGAGGCTTAACACCAGATTGCTCAGTGGTTGGTTTAACTTTTTTATGAAGTGCATTGTACAAAGTCTCTGCATCCAGAGAGTTACCAGCAATTGTTTTTAATTCTTGTAATGACATTTTCAGCATATGTGTAAGCGACTGTCCTTTATTCAATAAGTTTAATATATTCTGAGTAGTAACACCTGGTAATTTACTCATGAAATCCTAAAAAAATGTTTTAATAATATTATTTATTTACAAATCATAATAACATATTTATTTTTATCCATTTAAACTTTAAAAAAACATTTCAACTGAAAAACAGTCTGTGAAACACCTTATTTTCCACAGTACTAATTAAATAATTTTACAGTAGAAAAGACAAATGATTTACTCAAACCACTAACAGAAAAATTAAGGTTTTCAGTGATTATAATAATGGCATAAGTATTTTAACCGTCAAATTATTATTTAAAATTGTGTATGCTAAATTTGATTTTTGTTATCAAAAGAATACTACAAACCTAAAAACTATTTATGTTTTAGACTCCACAGAAAGTTTTTTTTTTGAGGGTACTTACATAGGGTTGCCATTCGTCCCGATTTTGCCGGGACACTACTGGTTTTTACTACAGAGTTCCGATATTTTTCATTTCCCGGCCGGGACGTGGATAAGTATCGGTTTCTTAAAATAAGATTTAAACAATACACATATTAGTAAATAAGTAAGACCACTCTGTTTTAAATTAAAAATTGTGTACCTAATTAATTTTTTTAGATAATTTAAAATTATATTTATGAATAAGATAATAATAATACTATTATTACATTTTGTGCTATTTCTAATTTTAGACTTTCTTATTTAGTATAAATTATAATATAATAAAAATATTAAATAACGCTGGACTAAAAAAGGTATTATTAAAAATTCCAAAGAAATGTGTGTTGTGGGGGGGGGGGGTATTATAGTGTCCCGACTGGTATTTTTGTGTAAATGGCAACCCTATACTTACATCGTTTGGCATTTCTAACAATAATATGTATATTAAATTAAATGTGTGAAACCTATAAATTAGAAGACTTTTAAAAATAAAATACAATAACAATAGGTACTTGATCTGAAATTATAATCAATATCACAATAAATAATTCGCACTTGTATATTAATTATAATTATTATAAACCTTAATAATGGCATTGTATATTTCTTCATCAAAATTTTGTCCTGCCTCCAAACCAACTGCGGCAGCTTCTGATGATATTGGCTGGCTTTTCCCCTCCTATACAAAAACAATAAAGGTAAGAAATGACATATAATAATTATATGCAATTAAAAATCTTTTATGAATATTCACTCATTTAACTAATATTGAGCTAAATTGACATGATATTTTAAATTAGTTAGCCCTAGTGAGAATGTCATATATTTTTAGCAAAATGTAGATTTAGTTAAAATTAGAACTATTTAATTTGAGACCAATAATACCTTAAGTTCTTGAAATAGTTCTGATGTAGCAAAAGGACTAGGAGACCATACTAATCGTAGCTTTGGAAAATGCAAAGTTAACAATTGCAACTTAGAAGTTATGTCATTGCGATGACTAGTTGTCATATCTTTGCTAAGATAAAATCTTCCCTGAAATTGAAATATTTATTTGAAGTTGGTTATAATTTACATATTAACAAAATTTTATAATTTATAACTTTTCAACATTATAATTTAAAATACATCTCCAGTGGCATTCAAAATCTGCTGTGTCTAGTATCTTGTATAGTTGTATATACTCTGTTCAAGTTAAGAATAGATCTTGGCGGAGGTCAGATGCATTGTCAGACACTTCCCCTACAGCGTCAATGAGAGAGGCCAGTGCTTTGAAACAAAGGCACGCTCATAGCTGGTCGCCGAGGTATATTCTTATTTTGAATAGAGTATAAGTATTAAATAAGTTTTTAAAATAATATATTTTCCTTTCTATACTCTGTTTGACATAAGAAACAACCCTGATGGTCTACCAGTTTTTGTCGGATGGTAGTCAGGCAACACATGTTTGACACCCTACTAAGTCTACCCATCTGCATTATGTACACTTGTCATGTAGTAAAACCATGAAACATGTACAGTAGTTGACTGAATGAGTATTTTTTTTTTAATGTAAAACAGAGTACAGATAACGTTAAAATAAAAAAAAATATTTCACCAAATTTAAATACAATATTAATTTTATTCCTATAATATGTATTATACACACAAATTAAATAGTATTTTGGATTAATAATTATACCTAACAATCTAAAATGAAAATAACAATAATTTAAGTACCTATATAAACATGATAAATTAAGAAAATTACCTGTAAATCAAATGGTTTATTTTGATCAAACTCGATAAGTAATATTGGTTTTGTATAATGACGACACATCATTAAAGCTTGATGGTATAATCTACCAGATTTTAAAGAACCAATTAAATCATCAATACTTTTTCTTTCTACACACATTTCTGGAGTCAAAATGTAATCACCAACCTAAACCAAATATTTAAAATAATACACAAAAAAAAAATAATATTTTAATAATGCAAATAACTTGTAATGTGACTGGTTCTATGTCAATGCCACGGCGATGAAGTAACACAGGCAAATCCGACCTAAATTCCCGCATATCTACAATAACTTTAGGAATTTCTTTTTTACCAGACTTTTCTCCTGGTTTATATGTCTTATCGTCATCATCCAACATTTCTGAAGGGTGAACACCCAGATCTCGAGTTAATTCAGGACAATCTTCATCTTTACCATCTTGACCTTTGGGTATAACCATAACCTACATTTAAAACCACAGTAATATGATACAACAATGAGAATAATAATAATAATAATAATGGGATATTATTTAGTAAATTAATTATTCATACTGCTTTTTCTTTGATTAGAAAATCAAAAAGTAATTTTTCTCTTCTAAGAGTAGTTAAATAAGCTTGTTCTTCAGTAGATCCTCCGAATATTAAAAAATAAACAACCAACTTCAATTTGGCATCAGAGTTTTGAAATACCTATAAAATAATATTTATATATTGCAGATATTGTAATTGTATTAAAAAGACTAAATATCACTTCAATTTGTCTGACTGCTGTCATATTTGCATCATACATAACAATATATTTAGGTTGTAACTCCCTTAGTGTGCGAGGAAGAGATAAAAAATCTCCATCTTTTTTATACTGCTGTAATACTATAATTGGTTCTTTTAATGTTTCATTCTAAAACAAATTATACTTATTATTTTCATAAACTATATACTATTTTATCTTGTATAGTATATATTACTATATTAATAAAAATAAAATTATTCATGGTACAATATAATGTTATAAATTAGGGGTCGACAACCAGTCGTTGTTTTGAAGAATATATACGATTTATCAATGGTGAAATAATAAATAAGAATATTCTTGTACAATTTATTATTATGCTGCATGTAATATTATAAACAATATACTCAAATAAATATTAGTAGATATTAAAAATGTTTAAAATAGGTAGCTCAGTTATTGGAAATGGTTAATGACCCCTGTTATAAAGTATACATTAAACAATTAAACAATTCAATTAATAGTTATTAAGGCATATATTATTATTAAAAACAATTATAGTTTACTCGAGATTCATTAGCACATTCAGTGAACCTTAATCCATCTTCATTTTTACTTTGAGTTAAAGTGAAACAATTATTTAAATCGTCTTCATCCAATTCTTCATTGTTTAAATTATCATTTACTTCCAATTCTTCATTAGTTGTATTATTTTGGGTAGATATTGTTGGCTTATCTTTAATATGTTTTTTATACAAATTTAAGAGTAAATCATCAGCTCCTTTGACAAGAAGCTATATAAACCATAAATTATTACCAAAATATTATGTAGATTTGCTAAAAATATGTACTAATACTATTACATTTTTTAATTGACAACACGTTTTTGCAGATTGTACAAGTACTAATACAATTTCACCATTATCTTTTGAATTCTGTTCAATTTCTTTTAAAATTTCTGCCAATCCTCCCCATTTGGGATTATGTTCCGGACAAATTTCTAAACAAAATAAAATGCATTAATGACGTTTAGTTATTTAACATTTTTTAAATACCTTTTTTAGAATTAAACAAACGACGTTTAGCTGTAATAAATAATGTTTCTGCAGCATCAAGTAATAACCATCCTGAACTACGATGTACATAATCTACAGAAGAATAATTTGATAACATGGAATGAAATCGAACAGCATCTAAAGATGTGACAGACCTAAAACATGTACATATTTAAACAACTTTTAAACAATAAATAATTGTGATATCAATAAAAAAAACAATAATAACATGAAGTGTTCAAAATAGATCGGCATGAATTTATTTGTTCACTTACATCATTAAATTTCGTAGAAGTTTAAGGTCAGACACCAATTGCTTTGTAGTACTACTTAATCTATGCCAAATTGGGTTTAATTGTGTTTGTAATATTTTATGAAAACATTTTGATAAACTGTTTTCAACAGTAATTTCTTCAGTGTCAAGCTATAGATAAAATAATATTAAGTCAAAAATATCTTTTTTTTAAATTATACCAAACAGATGTAACCTACCGAAGGATTGAGTCTCTTAAGCTCTTTAATTGAATAATTTATAAGATCAAGTAAAGACGTTTGGATTTCTATCATAGCAGGTGTTAATTCAACATGTAACTCTATAACTTCAGGCTAAAATTATAAATACATTTAAAATTAAAAATAATTAGCTAACCTAAAACAAAATTTTGTGATATTACATTTATTTTATCTAAACTTGACTTGACAGCAAGATGAAATCTAGGCCAAAGATATAATTTAGGAACAAACAAAGTTTTCATAATTTTTTCAATTTTAGTGAATCCATAAGTAAATGTTTGTGATGAGGTTGAAAAAGCTTTTATAAATCCACTCTGAAAAAAAATTATTAAAATTCATTTGTGTTTAAATGTATTCTATTAACTTTTATAATAGGAATAAACTTAAGTTTTTTTTAGCTTTTTTCTAAAATAATATAATAATATAATGTAATATTTTTTATAAAATATGGCATTATTTTAATAATAACACTACCTAACATTTCAAGGTTACCACGACCACATTTATTTTTTTTATACATTTTTAAATGAGTAATAACTGATTAGTATGTAAAATACTACCAAATTTGTACAAAATTTGTAGTATTTTACATTATTTTTTATAATTAAAATATTGAGAAAAAAACAGAAAATATTGTTACCATTGAGCATTAAGAATTATAATGGATAAATTTACTCCAATAATAACAACACATCAAAAGAAAAAAAATAGATTAATAACAGTTAATAGTTTTCTAAAGTTCTAAGAAAACTATAGTGATTTTACTGTAGAAATTAATATTTTTAATACATAAATATTACTTTGTTTTCCATGCGGTACAATCTTAGAGCAAATGCCTCTTGACAAGATTCTAAAATATTATGAGCTCGGCAAACCAAAAATCCAGTTATATGTGGTGTGGGAATTCTGTGTTTTAAAAGATCCACAACTAATATTCTGGATGATACAAACAATACTCCACCTTGAAGATAAATTTTTTCTCTAAAAAAACGTATACATATTGATATGAATAAATGTATATTATGTACACATGTTTTCATGTTTATCAAGGTGGCCACAGTGTTTTCTCGTTTTCCCATAAAGTTAACGTAGGAAACAAGAAAACAAGGTAACTCATCTGGTATATAAATATATGGGCCAAAATAATTCTGTATACTATACTGAATTACCTTTCAGCTATTGAAATGTCAGCTGATAGTATTTTTGGTAATGGTTTAATACCATCTTTTTTTAATTGAGTAATCCAAAAATCTTCTTCGGGAGTAGATGAACCAACAACTAATACCAAGTTACCAGGGTCACAAAACACTTTAATAATGTTTAATAACACAATTTCCAATCCAAGACCCCTACACAAATAGTTTATGATTAAAATAATATAATTGTATTATAAGTATATGAAACAAATGTTAAATTTACTTAGCACATATTACAAGGCCATCCTCATGTAATATATCCAGAAACATTTGATTTTCATATGGGAGCATTTTGTTCAATTATTAACGTTCATAAGAATAATACTTCCAAGATGATACCAATAAAATTCCAAAATAATTGTAGTGATAAGGTAAAGGAATCTATCACTTGTTCGGCATTTTCATTAATTTTCTTAAATAATAATAATGATAAAAGTTAATATATAATTTATCTTAAGTACTTCTTATACTCTGCGCCAGGAAAGAACATTACCGTGACCAATACCGCACATTCCCCACTCAACAATGCCTCGTTAACTTTTGGTACACTCGGCAAAGCTCGACAATATAATAATATATAAATAAACAGTCTATATAGTCACAGCACAAATCGTTAGAAAATGGGACTTCGGGCATGTTACTACGGTCAGTTTGCATGAGCAAAACGCTAATGTTCTCTCCTGGAGAAGAGTATAGTAAGAATTTTTCAACAAAAACAATTTTTTTAATTTAAACATAATTTCACTATTATTTACCTCTAATAAAATATCTGAAATACCACAGTAATTTTTCTAAATAAGTATTTGTTATTGTTATTTTTTAGTAATAGTATAACAGTTATTTAATTTAATTTAATTCCTTACATCATTGTTTTTGTCGTTATTTATAGATTGAGTTTCATTTTCTTCTTCAGATTCAAACAAATTCAAGTTAAATTCTTCACCAGGATCTGAATTTTGAATTATGTCTAGAGTATAACTGGCAATTTCATTAGATGGATGACCATAAATACCAAGGTATATAGGCCGTTTAAACCTATAATGTATTTAATAAAGCATGAAAGAAGTTTATTAAATTTACATTTAACTCAATAAGGGACTTACATAAAAATAGGCAAGACAATAATAGTTATAATTTTATTACCAAAGATATTTTTTTTTTGAAATAAGAAAAATTACTATGCTAAATAATATCAATATTTTACTTTTTTTTTTGAAAGTGTAACACATTGGTCCAAAATATTTGATTATGATAATTGATAATAATAATGAGATTGTGACATTCTATTAGTTTTTTTTTTCATTTATAAAAACTATTATTTTTTTAAATAAATAATATTGTTTAAAACATACAGGGTTCATACTTGAGCAATTATTATTTTTTAATTTAGTTTCTGTAAAATTAATAAAATATAACAAAATTATAAAATGATGTGCGTTTATATTTAAATTATATTTAGGATTCTGATTTCTGGAATTTTATTATAAAAACAATTTAAATCAATCTTATTAATTTATTAACTTAATATAATATGTCAATAGTTAAAAATAAAAAAAAAACAATTAATGAATAAATTTTAATTTTAATTAAACATTTTAATGTAAATACCATATTAAATTATCAAAGTTAATTTAGATTAAAATTGATGGATTTATTGAGTTTAAAAAAAAATTATATTGTAGTACAAGTTATTTGGTAACTTATATTTAACTATAACTTTTGATTATTAATAGAGTATGGACATCATTATTACCCTCAGTTAATAACTAATTTGAAATGTTATAATTTGTGTTAGTAAATTGTATGTTTATTTATACAAAGATTACACTCAGAATTTAAATTGAAGAAAAAAAGAATTAAACCAATGTAACTGGAATAGTTAAATGTTTATATTTATTTTTTGCTTACTTTATACTTAGAGGAACAAATTGAAAATACACTAATCACAGGATCTATTTATAAAGCAAATTAGGAACGAAGAAAAAATTTATGAATTTCTCATTTTTATAGTGAAGTAAAAATTTATCCTAAATACGAAAAAACACCAGTTTAGGATATAAAACTCTACAAAATAAAGAAAAAACATTGAATGTAAAATTGTATATTAACATTAACATGGCTCCTCATAAGGAGCCATATGATAAAAATTGTAATAATATCTATAATTGGCATTGTTTGTCAAAGGGTTGATACAAAAAGGTAAAGAAAAATAGTCTTAGAACATATTATCAAGTAATCAGGGTTTCCTTTTTAATTACCATTTAGGTATATGAAGAATATCAATTCCACATGTAGTAGATTGAAGACAATATGTATCTGGATCAAAAGTAGGATGATGTGAAATATGAGGCTGAGATATGTATAAATCAGCGTCACCCTCTCTAAATTAAAAGAAATATACATATTTAATATACAAGTATAACATGTATAACATGTTAAAAAGTTAAGACTACTTACTCAGATTTCAATACAATAGAAATATATCCTCTATTTTGTAGTGTATAATATGAGAAATTATTTTTTGAAACAACACCAGTGATTGAGTGTAGGATATTCTGCAAAGAACTTGTAGAAGACACTAATATCAACACTAAAAGCTGAAAAATAAATAATTTTTTTTTTGTCTCCTAACTATAATGTTAAGTATAACTACTAAATATACAATATAGATTATATAAATCATATAATTAAATATGTTTTAAGACAGTAAGCAGTATCAATTATTTAGGGAACTGTTAACAATTAAGGAATTTGCATAATGTATAGCCCACTAATCAGGAAAATAAAAGCCCTAAATAAGAATTCTCACACTAGGAAAAAAGATCCTCGAAACACAATACTTTGATAAATTAATAAATAATTTCAATAAATATACTTAATTCAACCATTTAAATAAAACATTTTTACAACATTTTAGATATTGTAGTACAAAATAATATCATTATTTATTAGTGTTATTTATTAATGCTGTTGATGTTTGAAAGGTTATTATGTTTATTATCAACATAAAATATAGCTAGATTTTTTTAATTTTCAATTAAATAATGGTTCTTTAATACTTGATATAGCTTGATATTCAATTTAATAACTGTTGAACTTATACAATTGTTAATTTGATATACTATTTAGTCATGAGCATGTAAATCAAAAATAATAATGTTGTATTTATTCAATCAATTTCATTGAAAAATACTGTGTGAGAATATTGTTCTTTCTCGGGGAATTAATTTTCGCAATTCACAGAATCCACTGATTTGTTATATTATAACATTAAGACTAATAGTGTAAAAGTCTTTATATCAGGCATAAATACTGACAAAGACAGCTAGGGTATATTTAAAAAAGTATTTATAGTTACAAAATCAATCAGTTTTTTTACATGCAATTATCTAATCATTATTTTCTGTACCACCAAACACAAAATTATCTTGCATTTTTATGAATATTAATTAATGATCTTTTAAATACTTTCAGTAGAGGCTTAATAACAATAAGAAACAAGGTATGTAATATGCATACATACTACAATGTTATCAATGTATATGTTTAATGGATAAAATATAAACATAACATTAGTTTTTAGTACAAATAAACTTCATTTACTATGCAGTAAATAATAATTATTTATTTTTATAACCTTGTGTTTCTTAAAGAAAAAAATTATTTTTCAAAATATTGAATAAGAAATGCAAATTTATTTTCAAATTAATTATATATTTAATCAATATTAGAATTTTAGAAACATTCAGTATACAACATGAATCCATACTAAATTGGGCATACAGAATTATAATGTTCACCTAAACCATACATATGTCGGTGAAACACTAATATTAATGCTTTATTACAATTAGTATACTCTATTCCAATAGTTATATCAGATCCTTCAGCTTGAATTACTTTGATTGGTATTTTGAATATATGGGATAAAGCTCTCAGTTCAATTTCACCACCCCATTGAACTGAATTTGCTACTTGATAGCAATATTCAATAAATTGTTGATCAGTTAACATTTCTCCAGTATCTGGATGACTTAAGTAAGGTATAAAGTCATCTTTGTTGCATTTGATAAAGTCAGAAGTCTTAAGTCGAATTTCGGGTACAGTAAAAGTCTGTCCACATATTTCTTTAAGCTGATGTACAATAGCACTATACAAGCAATTGCCGTCTGAAGGAATATCAAAAATAACAAAACCTAGATTTTTGAGTTTCCTAACTAATGTTTGAGTTTCTAGATGTCGTGTTCCGCCAATGTTTTGAATATCATGTTCTTCAATTAATGCTTGTCTCTCTTTCAGTTGAGTGATTTTTTTTGATCGCCTTTTTTCAGCTCTACTAACTTTAGCAGCAGTACCATTAATTTTAACTTCTTGTAAATTTTTTATCAGAGATGGTTCTTCATCTTCTTCTGTAAATGTATTTAGTTCTTCTAAATGTTTATGCTTTAATTTGGCTTCAATTTCTGCTGTTTGCTCAGCAACTTCTTTCTTCTTCTTCCGATCACCTTTTGCTACAGACTTCTTCATTGATTGAATCTTACATTGCATGTCTTTTTTCTCATTTCTGTGTCTTTGCAAAATGTCTTCTTTAGTTTCGACGTTTACTGATTCCATTTAGCACTAGATATATAGTATGTTACTTTAAAATATAAATCACTAAATAATTTAAAATTAAAAAAATAATTTCTCATACAATACATGTCAAACATTTTAAAATATCACGTTTATTTAAATTTCAATGTTAATTAGGGCTGGGCTTTAACTTAGCCAATGTATTAAATATATATTAATATAATATTTCTCAATAATCCAATAAACATCAAATATTATTTTACAATTTTAACAATTGTAGTTTACATGGCTGCTGAATAATGTGTTCATAATGATAGGATATAAGATAATTTTATTTAAATTTTAAAGTATAATACATTGCCATTTTTTAGTATGGCCAGGTAATAAGTTATAATTATTTGAAAAGTTCAAATTGTTTTGTTAAGCATAAGTCATCTTAATAAATTACACTTTGTTTAGCGTAAATTGAAGACCTATCACTGAGATGGGTGGTGTATGTAACCAATGTCAAGGAGAGGCAAATAACTGAATATAGGATATACTGAACACTCTTTTTTTTGTTTTAACCCTTGTAGTTAAGCATGCTGAAATTGATGATAAAGTCAGCATTTGGCAGCTGGACTTAGTTTTGAAGTCCAAGTCTGAGAAAATAGGTTTTCAATAGCAAATACTAGGTATATTGACAATATTTTTATGTTTGGAATTTCTTTAGAGGGTATCACAATAGTATATGTTTTAAATCATAAAATATGTCTGTCATACTAAAAAACAACACATAATGTATGTAAGAGTTAAAAAATGTTTTTCAAGTGGTTTATTTGAAGTAAATCTGTCCATGAATACTATTTTCAACAGCCAAGTGAGCCCTAACTAAGCTGAATTATTTTCTTTTACCACATTGTTTTTGTTATTTTTATTAAGTTAATAGTACAAATAATTTATATTTATTCTACTTTGTACAACAGTTTTGTATATTTAGCAAGTAATTGGATTAATACCTCATAGCTTTTAAACAACTTAGAATGATTTAATAATATTTTAATAGTTTTTAATTAATGTCACTCCAGCCCAAGGGTCTCCAAACTATCGAAAAAGTTATCAGCAGCCCCCAAAGAACAGTAAATAATCTTAAAATATGTGTAACATCCAAAATCGTAATCTTGCACATTTGTCAATTATTACCCATATCATACTTATAACTAAGTATATTATAAGAACTATTCTTTAAAATATATATAAATATATGTATCTAAAATTAAAAATTATATGACATGTATATACACGTTTGAGAGCCATTAAGAGCTTTTGATATTTTATATATATAAAAAAGTTTGGAGACCCCGACTCTAGCCTAATACAAAGATAAAATATTAATATTATTGTAGATACTATTTTTAAACATACATACTAGCTAGAACATAGGCAATGGAGGAATATTTGGATACTTAGATTGAAAATAACAAACATTTTAAAAACCTTGATTTCAATTTTTTTATTTGATTTTATTATAACATTTTTATAATAGGCAATGTAGAAGTTATTTGCCAATAATATATTAAATTTATTTATAACAATTGTAATACAATTAAAATAAAATGTTATCTTGAATTTTGATAAATTTCAATACCTAGGTATCAAAAAATAATTCTTCATATTTTATTGAATAAAAATAATTTTAATAATTAGTCTAATAAGTACACTTTACATTTAACACTAATGACGTATGAATAAACAAAATAATATTTATTTTACCTATAAATAAAGAAATCTATTATTTTATAAGTACTAAAGTACCTACATATTATTTAAAGTATAATTTAGAAAATTTATAAAGCAATGAGGAAATCTGTTAATCCAGATTAAATTCCCAAATACCGGGTGTGTATTATGTCATTGCATGTAGTTTTTTCAACCTTGATATTTTAGAATCAATGATACGGAATTTGGAAACAATGAAAAAAGACGAGTTTTTATTTTTAACAAGCAATTTTTTTTTGACAAATTCAAAATTTGTTTGCATGTAGTTGTTTCAACAGAAAATCAATTTAATTTTTTTCAGATGGTAATAACTAAATTTTTTGATGGATTCTGTTAGAGCTTTTTTTTCTGAAAATTTTGATGATCAAATCATTCAAATCATCAACTTTGGTTCTCTAGATTATTAACTAAGGGATTAACTACAGTCCTTTAACGTTTAGTAAATATATTAATACATTTAACTGAAATAAATTTAATTTAAAAGAGCTAAATAATTTTTTCTTTTAACTATCTTTATATACGCTTAAATCGGTCCTAATGACACACTCCGAAAATATATTCAATTTTAGGATAAAAGCCTAGAAAATAGTAGGCAAACATAATTCATTATTTTAATTTTAATATACAATCGTGAAAATAAGTATTATTATTGAATTTATTATACAGTATATTTAATAAGTAACTAGTATATAATAAGTAACAAGTATATACCTATTGAAGTCAGGGTTTTCTAGTTAACAAGGTTTTGATATCAGTCATCAGATGCAAGTAGGTATTTATTGATTTAACATTACCTACCAATGCAAAATTATGATTTTTTTTATTAGGAGGTACATACACATTTACTATTATCTGTTAAAGATAGGTAAATCTATTTTATTCTTTAAATCAGTGGTTCTTAATTTTTTTAGATTCATGGAAAATTTATATTTTTTTAAGATTTTTAAGGTTTATAGCCACACAATAAAACAGTACCTATATCATATACATATAATTTAAATTAATTCAAATTGAAAAGTAAAAATGTATACAAATTTATTCTAGTCAATAGAAAACAGTATAATTGTAGACAATAAAACTAACAATTCTTCTTAACAAACATTTTAATTTGTTCACTGATTTTCAAATTTGGATAGACTTTATTTTAAAAAACGTTGTATATGCATGTGTTGTTTTTGTCTTACATTTGTACGAAATAGCAAATTTTCGTTCACCAGTTTCAATAGTGTGCTGTTAGTTTTGATATTAGAGTGAATTTACCTATTATAAAATTTAAAGGTATAATTATTTCTAGGGCCTAATGAAGGCTTTTATTGATATTATTGTTTTGAAGTTATGACAATTTTAAAATGATTACTCAAATGATCAAAATTTACTTTAAAATAATGTCAATAAAAGGCTACATGATGTCCTAGATCAGCGGTTCCCAACCTTTTTTATTCTACGCTCCCTTGTAAATTTACTAAAATCTCATTCCTCCCCCCCCCCCTAAAGTAAAGGAAACATTTTTTTTTTTGTGAGCGGTACAAATAAAACATACAAAATAACTATATATTATACAATATCCAACTATTTACTTTTATTATTTTCATCATTTTAAAAATGTATTATAAATCAACTTACGAAGTAATAATATTAAGTATAAGAAAAAAATATTGAATATGAAAACAAAAATATTAACATTAAGTATAAATAATATCTCGATCTATCGTCTTCTTCTATATACCTAATATATAATTGTTATCAATGCCCGATAATCTGATAACTAATATAGTGATTTCAATTTTACACATTGTAAAATAACATAATTATTTTCGTAATTCCATCATCACTATATTCCCCCCTGCGGGGAATTCTCCTCTGGTAGGGAACCGCTGTCCTAGATAATAATCTTACCTTTAAATTTTATATTAGGTAAATTCACACATACACTCTTTAATATCAAACTAACAGCACACAATTAAAACTTGTGAGCAAAAATGTGCTATGTCGTACATGTATAAGACAGAGACTACAGAGACGGTTACAATGTCCCCTTAACTTTATGGAGCATCTATGTTTCATGGAACATTGGTTAAGAACCACTGGTCTAAATCATAATAAATAATAATTTATACTATCATTATCCTTATTTCTAATTTAAGATTTAGCATGAATATCTAATGATGGCCCAGCCCTAGTAAAATCCCGAATACAATAAAAACTGAAAGTAAAATAAACAATTTATTATTTTTATAGTGTTTTGATAGATACTTACATGAATAAATGTGCAATTGAGCAATGAAAAAGTTGACATAATTCAACTTAGTCCAATGATGGATATATTATTAAATAAACATTTTCATAAAACTATTTGAAGTATTGTCTTATTTAATTAATATTTTAGAACAAAATTACATACATAAAACAATTTAGATATATTCGTAAAATATGGATAACAATTCGTAACACATCCAAATAAAATCGACATTAGGTACCTTCACTAGTTTTTTCTACAACGTTGTAATTAAGTACACACTACACAATATCATAAAACAATATGAAGTTCTCTTATATTAATATATATTATGCATTAGTTATTATAGTCTATAGAAGTATTTAGCATGATAAAAATTATAGGGAACGGATACGCAGTACAGAGTACAGACACTATTAGAGTACAAACAGTAGACAGTAAGTAAATAATACTATAAGCACTAAGGAGTAAGTACACACTATAAATTACACAATCACATTTTTAACATTCATGATTCACATTTCACGCTAACCAAAAACTCGATTTGTTATGATAACAGAGTTAACAGCGTACCTTTAACCGTGGTGCATACCTAACCGTATACCGCAGAAGTCACAACGATACTACAATACCTATGAAATAATAATGATAATTTACCATTCTGTATTGCTGTGTGACTTTCTGTGTCACAGAACACAGACTTCGAGAGTACTTTAAGTTCTAAAACTATAGTACTATTTTTTAAAGTATAGAAGTATGTGTTTTGTGTATGAAATATTTCTTAATCTATGGTATGAAATAGTTTCATATGATCTGTGGTATAGAAGTCTGTGACTAATAATAATAGCACGACTAAGGTGGATTCACAGGATAAGTGAAATTCCGTGGTGATTGGTGGATTGATCAATCTACCTTGAGCATAACGGTCTTGAATAAGCATATAGCAGCCTATAGCAGTATCTATTGTTATCTCTTATCATTGCTTCAATGTTTAAAATGCAAATTGATATAATCATAGAACAATATTATTATGCGTACTGGAATTTTACTTATTTATGATTTATTTTCATTTTGTGGATTTATTTTTATTATAACAAAATAATACCTACCTTATTTAATTTAAAATATTTGATCATAATTTCTATACAATTCTCAATACCTAGCCAATACTTATATATTCTAATTTTAAAATCTAAAGACCAAAGTTAAATGTCAGTACTCAATTCTGTATTCTTTTTACTCAAGTCTATCTCAATGTTTCATTACAAAATTAATAAGTATTAAGTAAATATTTATTGTGGATAATGTTCAAGAGTTAAATAGCAAATCGTTTTTTAATTTTTTATTTGTAATCCCAAATAGGTTCTTGAAAAAATAAATATCATAAAAAATGGTAACTGTTCTATAATTTGTTTATAAATTATCATTTATAAGTAAGGACAATAAGGTAATAATTGTTTTTAATATAAGTTTTGTATAGGTATTAGGTACTATAGTTTACTATTATAAAATGTCTTGTACACATGTATTATACATTAGTGGCGGTACTAGTGATGGACAATTTACTAGATTAGATGTAACTGAAAACAAGATACATTAAAATTATATTTCTATTTAATTTTGATTGCTAAATACAAAATAGGTATTTTGAAATTTACTTGGTTATTTATGTTAATTTCTTCAAGAAAATAATGATCCCTACTATTAAATATTTGTTTGTTTGAAGTGTTCATAAAAAATATTAACTTTGTACAAATTTTATTTACTACCCTTGGGCAGCGCCGGATAGGCAAGGTATCGGCCTACCGAGTTTCACAATTATAACCGGCCCTAAAAAAGTTAATGCCACGTTTTTCAATAAGTTAAAGTCATTAATGGCTATCCATATTTTCTTAATAACATCATATATCATACAATATAAATTATACATATTATATTAAGCAGTTGACATAGATAAATAATGAATATTCCAAGCCGGCCCACCGAGTTCAACTCAGTAACTCGCCGGCTCTATCCGGGCCTGCCCTCGGGGCTTGGAAGTTAATATCCTATAAAAAATGTTTTAGTTATTTAAATGCCAAGATAAAATAATACCATTTCTAAATTAATTTTTATGCATTTCAATTCATAAGTAATTAAATATTTACTTATTTGTTATGTTCAAAATTCAAGTGTCATATAAAATTATTAAAAGTTATTTTATTAGTAACATTTTACAATGCATACCAAATAAAGAAAAGTTGTTTTTCTATATAGTGTAAAATGGTTAAAAATTTGATAAAATGACAAAAAAATCAATAAATGCAAAATAAATATTAGTTATTTAGATTGGTTAGGATTTTTATTGAAACGCATTTTATCAATGAAAGTTATCAACTTTCGAGCTTTAATTAAAAACTAAAATTAACTGAAATTTAAAATTATTAAAATATTGAACTTTGTAACAATAAAATAGGTTAAAAAAACAATATAAAATGTAAGTAATAGGTAACTGACACATATGGTTTGAACATATTAAATAATGATGCTTTTAAAGTTACTTGAAAATTATTTAACTGATTACAGATAACAAGTTTTAAATAAAACTTTGTTCCGTAATTTAAATACATGAAACAGTTAATTACCAAGTCTCATACTCTAAAATTAAAACAATTGTATTTAATTTCTTATTTAAAAATCAAAACATTTAAGTAATATTTTTTAAATGTTTTTTTTTTATATCTTAACTATGCTTTATTTACTGTTATTTTTTCATAAGTTTTAAAATTTTCTGTTACAGATGGAAAAGCAAAAAAAAGAATATGAGCTTAAACAAAGCTTAAGACCTAAAAGTTCTACAATTAAATCAGTTGTACTGGATTGTAGTGATCTATCAAATCCAAAAATTAAGGTATGAAATAATAAACAATAATTGACAGTAGTTTCTCAATTAAAACACCTTCATGTGGTAAATTTGTGCAATTAAATTCTTGGACTATTTTCATTTCAGTTTTTTTTCCGAGAGTGATTATCCCCTATCCATATTTTCTTAAGAAACTTGAGGTTAAGTTGTTCAAATGCGTGCTGAGTTAATTTAATTTTTATAATATAATATTCCGTAGAGGTATACCTATTAAACATTGCTTTCTACTTTTCTAAGTTATAATCATCAGCAATAAGAAATTATTTTGAATAAATATAAATTATGTGGCTCATTATTAAAATTATTTATTATTATAATTATATAGTTCAATAATTGTGTAATTTTAAAATTTATATGATTCAGGAAAATCAAGAGACAGAAGTCCTAACAATGTCTACGCCAACTGATCACCCACAAAAAAAATTAAAACATTTGAATCTATTTAGTAATTTACAATCAACACCAAATACTCGGCATTTTAACAAACCAGAATTGGATTCAAGAATAATAATGAAGTAAGATTTACATATTTAAAATTTTTAAAAATCATCTAGTTCTTAATTTGTCTTAATTAAATTAATAATATTTAAAGCTATAGTCTAAGTAACTGTGTTTAGAACAGTAGACGTTTCTCAGTGGCGCATGACAAGGGTTTTATGAGAACCGGGTCTCGTGGATGTTTTTGGGTGGGTGGGTGGATGGTCGATGCTAGTGCAAAAAGTTGGCTAACTATTGGTGTAAGCTATTACTCTCTACATTATTGATGGTACTATTGTTTATTCTGGATTAGCTAGTGAAAAGACCCAAAGCAAAATTCTGTCTAAAAAGAGAGCAAACAATTATAAAAGTTAGGAACTCACTGCTTCCAGACATATTTTGTACTTTGAAAAAAAGTGGCTCATTCTAAATAAACTCAATATTCTCATCAACATGCATATGTAACTAACTACATAATATGTGACTTTGTTTTCCGCAGTTAATTTTTTTAAATCAAAACAGCAATAATATATTATTATTAAATGAAGCTGATGCTGCTTATTTTATTAAAAGTCTCATGAATGAAAAATAATCACGCCGCCCCTGAAATTTCTAGTAGTAGCATCTTATATTCTTGTAAGTCATATTCTTTATTTTAATAATTATTTTTCAGTCTCAGTCCAATAACATCTACGTCATCTTTAAAAACAAACTTATATAGTCATAAAGATATTTATCAACATAAATCACATGCAGAAATTGATTTTTCATTGGTAAACATATATTTGTATTTCTTATTTTGAAATAAATATACTATATTATAATATTTTATTAATATACTACATTTTTTTCTCAAATAGAATCCATTGAAGTACCAGAATTCATCAAATCTTTGTAAAAAACATGAATTAAACAAATGGAAAACAAACAAAACTTCAATTGAACCAGCTCATAAAAGTAATATTATTGACTCTTTAATTGTACCAAATAACCCAAAAAAAACAAATGAAGATATTGTTAACGAAAAAGCTAAAAGATGCTTATTTGAGAAAGAAAAGGAAATTACTATGTCTAATTTGGAAACAGATCAAGATTCGCTTAACATTTCTTTGGATATATTAGAACAAGTGTGTCAAATGTCAGAAATTATGGATGATAGCTTAACTGAAGAAGTAAAAATAAGTGATGATACTAATAAAAAAAAAAAATTGGCTTCTTTTCTTTATGGTAATAGCACCATTAAACTTGATGACACAGAAGAAGAAAACAAATTATTACAATTGGCATTAAGTATGGAAGATAATGTATTGACTGAATCTAGATCAAAGAATAAATTATATTTTGAAGGCAAATTTACCTCTCTAAATCAACTAAAAAATAAGGGAACTAACTTATCTAAATATGACAGTGAACAATCAAAAAGTAATAAGTTGAACACGTGTATAAGTGATTCCAAATGTAACTTTTTAGATCCTGAAGAAATGAATTCAATTGGAAATACACAAATGTGTGAAATAGCTGACATAACTGAACCATTAGAATCATTTGATGATCAATGGACACAACAATATACTAATAATGAATCTAATTTCAGCAATACAACAAAGGAAAATAATTTTAATAAAGATTTTGATGCAGTGATAAGCACACCTATAGATTTTATTGATCATAAAGTGAATATAAAAAAAAGTAACTCATTACATAGTTCAAATGAAAGGTTAAAAATATCAATCGTAAGAGATGAACTGAATATACCTCCAATTGTGACTCAAGACGATACCTTAACAAATGATAATATATGTAAAGGTTTTTCAACTGCAGGAGGTAAATCTATTAAAGTATCAGACGAGGCATTAAAAAAAGTTCAAACGATGTTAAAAGATGAATTTAATGAATATTCAACTGTTAATCAGGACAATATTGTTGTCGATACCAAAATACCTAAAGGTTTTGCTACAGCAGCAGGTAAATCTATTAAAGTATCAGATGTGGCTTTGAAAAAAGTTCAAACAATGTTAAAAGATGAACTGAATGAATCCTCAATAATTACTCAACACAATACTGTTTTAAACACTAATGAACATGAAGGTTTCTCAACTGCGGGTGGTAAAACTANAAAAAGTTCAAACGATGTTAAAAGATGAATTTAATGAATATTCAACTGTTAATCAGGACAATATTGTTATAAATCCTAATATATGTAAAGGTTTTTCCACTGCAGCAGGTAAATCTATTCAAGTATCAGATGCGGCTTTGAAAAAAGTTCAAACAATGTTAAAAGATGAACTGAATGAATCCTCAATTATTACTCAGGACAATATTGTTGTCAATCCCAAAATACCTAAAGGTTTTGCTACAGCAGCAGGTAAATCTATTAAAGTATCAGATGTGGCTTTGAAAAAAGTTCAAACAATGTTAAATGATGAACTGAACGAATCGTTAGGTATTACTCAGGATAGTATTACTATAAATCCTAATAAATTATGTAATGGTTTTGCCACTGCTGGTGGTAAAACTATTGCAGTATCAAATAAGGCCTTACAAAAAGTTCAAAGAATATTGAAAGATGAATATTCATTAGCAATTACAAAGGACAAAACTACTATAAAGTCTAACATTGGTATTCAATTTTTGAATGCTGGAGATAAATCTATTATAGAATCAGATAAATCATTAAAAGACAATCAATCAACCTTTAAAGATGATTCACAGTTATTTGATAGTTCACTAGAAACAATGGCTATTTCAAGTGATTACAACAACTCTAACAAAGTCTCAAAATTAACTAATGACCTAAAAACAAAATCAGACTGTTTTGAAATTTCAAAACATGAAGAAGAATGTACATTTGAGGATGATTTGTCTTTAATTAACACAGTTGAAAAGTTTGAAAGGGATCAAATTGTTTGTAAGCCAGTGCAGAGAAATAAACGTCCAGGAAGCCCTATAAATACACATGAAATTAATTATAAAATAAAAAAAACAGTACTGAATGATGGATGGGAAATTAATGAGTTAAATACTTCATTTAGTGTTTACTTATCAAACAAATTGAATGGACCCAAAGTATTATTACCAGAAGTTGTTGATTGGGTCTTGCCAAAAATATTCACTTTAAAACAGGTACCTACTTTAATATAATATTATTGTAAAAGTATATTTTACAATGTACATTCATATTTATTTTAATATAAATAGTTACACATAGCATACCTACATTCATGTAACAATTTATTGTTCATAAATATTAAATATGTTAGGAATGAATATTATTATAATGTTAGCATGAAATACAAGGTATTTTATCAAAGATAGGTTTATTATGTTACTTCTTGGGTTGTATAATGTTTATTATAAATTAAATTTTGTATTATATTAAAATTATTAAGCCCCATCCCTAATGTATAACTAATTTTGTTATAACAATTAAACAAATAATTTATTATATTCATTATATTACTTTTTCAGTTTCCTGAGAATGGTGTCGCAAAAGAATTAATCAAATTGAATGTTGATAATGCTATACATTTGAAGTTATATTGGGAAAAGTATATTGATTTTTCTTAGTTTTAAATTAAATACATACTTATAACTTGTTATTTTACAGAAATTATAAATTATCTGATGGACATAAAAATAAAATGTATAGTTTTCAAGATTTAAAATACTTATTTTTATCACACAATTTTGTTGATGGCAAACTTATTCCTAAAGGATGGATAGAAAACCATTTTCGTTTTATAGCATGGAAATTGGCTGCTACTGAAATTTGTTTTCCCGATCATTTTGGAAACAAGTAAATATGTATACAGATATATCATATTATGTTGGAGTTAAGGTTCTATTACCATAAATTTGAAGTCCACTAATCTGATCATCTAAACTTTAAATGCTTAAAATACTTTTTATTCAATACTCAATATTTATGTTGTATCATTTTTAAGAAATCATTTAACTTTGAATTATTAAAACATAAATTTTAAGTTTTTAAGAAACTTACCAACTTTCCCAAAAGGTACCTTGTCAATATTTCTACCTTAATTTCTTATCTTCTTGGCTACTTATGGCAAATATGAATACCAAAATATTTTGTTATTTTAAGTATATTTTAAGTTTGAGCGGATGTCACACCTACACAAGTTATACAAATGTACACCATACCAAATTTGTGTTCAGCAGAACCAGTCTTGTGATGTTAGGTATAATATTAGAGTGAATTAACTTATAGTCATTCTTAAATTTAGGAATATTATTAGTATATTTTATTGGTTTTATTATATTTTAATTTTCATGCAATTTGTAGGTTAGGCCCACTATTATTTGATATTTTTATAAACACCACAAATTCGGTTGTGTCTCCATGGTGTGTTCTTTTATTTAAAAAATTGTTCATATAATTGTTCTCATGATGATTTCCAAATCCTCCAAAAGCTATTTATATATTCAGTATCTGGTATATTCGTTGTCTCTTAATATCATTATTTATAAAGCAATGTATTTTCGTTGCACTTGTATAGCAATTTATTTTGACTATAATCTTAGTTTGTCCAAACAATTTTTGCTAACAATGTCTAGTACTTCCAGTACCTCCTTCACTTAATTTCCCCATATTGATGACATTGTTGTTAAAGCTTTATGTTTACCAGTTTTTAGTAAACTACACTCAACAAATTTTGATTTACCCGATTGTCTAAATGTGTTCAATAATGCTTTGGTCCGTGCGGTTCATTAGTATGGTACTATTGTTTAGTCATCATATACTGTCATTGATATATGGTGGATTAATGGCTTCACAATTAGTTTAGCGAGTTTCTACCTATACAGGTTGTTATACCATGCACACCTCCATTTTTTCTTTAATAATACATTTATTCAAATTCTGATTTTTAGAATTTTTAAATATATATAAATATAAATACATAAACAAATATATAAATGTTAACATTTAGTTACATATAAAGTTTATTATACTGATCTATTATTACTCAAATTATGCAGTGCTTAGATGGAACACATTCATTGGAACTTGACAAGAACATAGTTCCTTTTTAATGCGAAGGAACAAATAGGAACATTGTTTATTTTTTAGAAGAACAAATGGTTTTATTTGCTCCTTTTTTCATTAATTAATATTATTATACATATAGAGAATTTTAATAATTTTTAGAGTAAAAGTCTTACAATTTTTTTTTTAAATGTTGTAAATATAATAAACTAGGTATATAATTAAACCTATGTACGATAATATTGACAATATTAAGAAAGTTTCAAGTCAGTCACGGCTGACTTAACTTGTATGAAATAAATAAATTAAACATTTTAATAATTAAACAATGTATTACTACAAAAATTCAATTTTAAAATTATTGAGAAACAAAAAATGTTTTTTATTTTGGAATGAAGAAAGACACTAGTTCCTTGCTATAAACCAGGAACAAGAAACAATTTAGTTAAGGTTAGGTCGAGGCTATGCTTTTAACTAGATGAATGTAAGCATGAACTAATTCCTTTTTATAGAAACTTTTCAAGCCCTGCTCATATTTTATCGTTGTAACAAGCCAAATGACATTAATTATATTTTAAAAAAAAATTAAAATATTAATTTATATATAATTTATTTTAAGTCTAATCTTAATTATAATTTATAATTCCATATATAGGGTTGTGATTATAAAGTGATCATAATGACAGTTTTTTTTTATTATTTTATTGTTTAAGTTAAAGATTAACTGGTTTAATTATGTTTAGGTTATTAACTGCAAAAAACATAATTCACCAACTATTATATAGATACTACAGAGAAATAGAAAAATGTCAACGATCTGCATTAAAAAAGATACTCGAAAAAGATGAAACTACATCGAAAAGGATAATTTTATGTGTTTCAAAAATTAGTAGAGTAAGTATTCTATTATCTTCACTAAGCATATTTTTATTGAATCAATATTTTTTTCAATGTTGAAAGAATCTGGATAGTTTTACCTTTTTTAAGACATTGAGTTGGTCGTATGTATTATCATTGATTATAAATATTCATTATAAGTATTATCTTATGGTCAACATAATATGTTATAATATGTTATAATTTATTATATTGTTGAATTTAATCAAATTTAAGTTAAACATTATTTTTTTAGAGTTTTCAGTCTTAAAGTTTTACTAAATTTCAGTACATTGTTTCTAATTTCTATGAAAGAGAACATACAAGTTAACAAGTAGAAACTACTAACTAGACAAAGTACAGACGACCATTGTAGTACAGACGTACAGTTATTGTAAATCATTTATTAAGACATTTAATTATGTAACTTTTACATGTGTTACTATTATAATAGGGTTTTTTTTTAAATCAATGTATTGCATAACAATATTAATTGTTTAGCATTTTAAAATATTGTGCATACAAAAAACAAAAGGTAAAAAAATTTTAAAAGTAAATGCAAAATTCAAGTTTCAAGTGCTGTATTTAAAATGTAATGTAGGTATCCATCTTAGCGTAGGCTTTACACATTACACCATACAATACATTCCTTTTTTATAACCTTAAATAAGTCCCAGTTATTCGACTACTGACTAAACATAAAATGTAGTACATTTTAAAGCACCTATCTTAAAATCAGTTTCTGTTTAAAATAAAAATAAATAAATTAAAAAGTAACCATGATTTAATAGTATAAGAGAAAAATAGGTCTTTCTTGTAACTTGAATTTGTTATGTATTTTAGACAAATTCAGCTGAAACCTTTACGATTGAACTAACTGATGGTTGGTATAGTGTTAAAGGAATTATTGACTATGAGATGAATATGCTTTTACATAAAGGCATTATAAAAGTTGGTACAAAACTTATAACATATAATGCAGAACTTATTGGTGCTGGAGAAGGAATTGATCCATTAGATGTAAATATATTATGACTATAAATAAATAATAATACGAATTGTTGCTTTAATTAACTTATTTACAGTAAAACCGTTAATTATTATTTGTGTAACACACTGGTTTGGCATACCTTACTGTCACCCTTACCACTCTACCTATGATTTTTGTCGATGTTTAAATATTTTTTCTTTTGTAAAATTACATTTTATTAAAATGTACCTAGTTATCAATATACCAGTATTTAACCAAAAATTTCTCCAAAAATCTTTCTTCTCAGTTGTGGTTCAGTGTTGCATCATATAATTTGATGAACTAAAATATCTTTAACTATAAGAATATTGCAATATCATCAAGTACTATGAATTGGTACTAATTATATTCATACTACACTATATTTATATTGATATAAAACAATATTTATATTATAATCTTGAATATTGTCATGTTAATAAATGTAATGTAGAGATATTGTACAATTTAAATACTGCTAATCCTTAATTTCATTAAATTAGAATAAAATTTCAATGTTTTATTTTTTTTTTGTGTGTATAAGGTTGACAATAGTGTAAAGCTTAAGATATCAACAAACAGTACACGAAGAGTACGCTGGTATGCTAAATTAGGATTCTATAAAAACTCAACATTACCTATACCTATTACTTTAGAATCAATTCTACCACATGGTGGAATAATAGGATCTCTTTCACTTGTAATACTTAGAAAATACCCTGTAATGTTTCTTGAAAAGAAAACAAATTCAAAATCTAGTATGTATAGTATTTGTAAAATAAATATGTTAAGTGGTGGTGTCAAGATTTTCTACTTTTAAGGCCAGACAAATAGACAATTCCTAGTTACCAGTGCCAGTTTATCGTATCCTAAATGATTTATAGAAGATTTTTGTATCCCATTAATTAATAATTTACATAGTCAAAAATAAATATTTGATTAAAGGTACGGTTTCCCTGCAACGTCAGACGCGAGAACAGCATGGCTGCGTCGGACGCGGCGTCTAGACGCGACCTACGTCCAGACCGGTAGTGACGCTTGACGCTGCGTCCAGACGTTGCAGGGAAACCGTACCTTAAAAAAAAATGTTATATCATATATATATATATAGATATATAACTGTTTACAAGCTAATGTAATAGGTAACACAAAACAACTCTTTGATCTATATGAGCTACCACATCAATTATAAACTTTTAAACTTGATTCGGAGGTTAAGGCAGGAATTTTTTCTCCATAAAGTATTTTTTGGTCAAATTGAGTGCAGTGAGTTTCTTTAATGAATATTGACTATCCGCCCACTTTCCTACACAAGTGTTTAACTCAATATATGTATATTTTACATTCCTTTGATTTGTTCAAATTACACCGCATGATCTCATGTACTTTGTATTATGTCTCATGCTGATTTGCTAAATGATAACTCTTTCATTTCTGCCTATTATAACGTGTTTAAAAACTGTGAGATAATCTAAAATTAACTTAGTAATTTCTATGTCAATATCAATATTATATTATTATTAGGTATTTGTTTTTAAACTATATTGCTTTTATGCTTACTGCATTTATATTTTATAAAATCTTTATTTTTATTATATACCTACCATGATTAATACTGTTATCAATTTAATTAAAACAATTTATAATTTGCATCTGCCTGTTTATTTTCAAAACATAGTGTAATAATGTATTTATATTTGGGACAAATACCTATAGATGAGCTCTCAAGTAATTTTTTTTATAAATAATTTTACATTTGAATTTATGGGACCTTGATGTAAGACAAGTTTGATGGAGAGTTTTGGCCCACCACTGAATATATAATGTAATATATAATAGGTATGATAGTTAAAACTATTAATTTATTACTTTAGTTTTCAGGAATGAGAAAATGGAAACTATTGAAGCAGAAAAGTATAAAGCATACCAACAAAAGTCATTAGAAATAATTTCAAATAAGATAAAAACTGAGTTAATTGCTGAAATAGCCTCTAAAACTAAAGTATCAAAAAAATACTTTTCAAGTATGAAAAAAGAAAATTTAGATAAATTAAATATAGATGAATTGAGCAATGTTTTAGAGAACTCCACTGATCCTTTGGAAATCCAAGTAATTTACTTATTTTTTAATTTTAGTATTAAAACAGTGTTTCCTAACTCTTAATTGAACGCCCCTTGTAGATTTGCAAAAATCTCATGTCTCTAATATCACTTAAAATTGTTTAAAAAAGTTTATGTTTTTTTTTTGTTTATCAAAAAGACAAAAACAGATCTATTACGAAATAGGTTAATCAATTGTTTTTTTTGTTAATTATTAATAACAATTTTTAATTACTTTTAAAAGTTAAACTATATGATTACAATAATATTATTAAGTGCTAGTACAAAAAAAGTTTCTATTTTAATGTGAGATGTTTGATTATTACCCTCCACCCCCATGCAGTAGGTACCTCAATTCCCCCTGAGAGAGGCATTTTTCCCACAGGGAAAAACTATTAAAATTCATAATATTATACTTAAAATTATTTATAGTCATTGCTCAGTCAAGAAAAATTGGAAGCTCTTAAAGATTTTAAAAAATTAGAACAAGATCGATTCTATAATGAACTTCAAAATAGGGTCAATAGAGTGTTTAATGATCAATTTAAAGATGCTCGTAAAGTTATACCTATGATTAAAGTAAGTAACATTTATATATGTTTTTCGTTATTGCATTTTAGACAATAATGTATGAATTTGAATTATTATCATTATAACATTATCTGTGTTTGTATGTTGGTTTTTTACGATAGTTCAATTTGTAGATGAGTTATGATCATTTTTAATTTACGCTATATTATATACGCATACGCATAACTTAATAAAAAATTGAACTATCGTGAAAAACTAACATACAAACACAAATGTTTTTACCATCGAGTTTCTTAATAGGTCGATTTACTCTATTTTTTAAGCTAACGAAGCTATACGTGATCTGCTGAGCGTAAATTTACCATGTTACGCAACGCACTTGTTAGACGTATACAACAAATACCAGTGTTACGTTCTCTACATAGGCTTTTTATTATATGTATTTTAATTTTAAAGCGAGTTATGAACACATTTAAAGATGTACAAACAATTTACAATTTTAAAATCAATTTTGTCAAAAACTTTTTATACCAAAAACAACTTGCAAAGTTGAAGTTTGAAATGTGTTTTCCACTAGGTAGGTACGAGTATAAAAGGTTTTTTTGCAAAATATTAAATTCATCGTTTCGATTAGTACTTAATGTTTAATTAAACAGATTAGTTTAATTTAATGACGTCTACCTTACGCCCAAAAAATTTCCTAATCATTTAGGTATATAAAAACAAAAATTACTACCTACGTTTCAGAAAGCTCTATAATATTATAAGCTAACTCATTGTAAATAACGAGAAATACGGAGAAAATTCACGAAAGTTCTATAAACATATTTACACCATTGTAGTATTATATTTATATAAATATAGTAATAGCAGCGAAAACTATATAATATGTGTCACAGCTCTTAGTGGTGAAGTAGGGGGTAGGGGGATGGCACGGCGACCAGAGCAGCGCTCGTGAATCGTATCGAATCTTCTCGAACGTTCGGTCAGATATATAAACGTTAGCAGCGCGCTGCCCGCCGTCAGTTACTCAGTTTACAGTTTGAATTTGAAGCAGTAAAGTGCGACTCGTTGTCCGTTGAACGAGGCATACATAATACTACTTGGCTACTATTTAACGCGACTTTCAGTGTTATTCACGAATTTTCCATTGCGGTTTTATACACAAAGTGATTTTAAATCGTTATCTAATTGCTGTACTACCTGCGTATACGTTTTAGTTTGAATTATCAAATTAATTTTCGTATTAATTGTGCGTGAATTATATCGACAATTATTGGCGAAATGGTTGGAAAAACAGCCATCGGTATCGACCTGGGTACCACCTATTCCTGCGTGGGTGTCTGGCAACACGGAAAAGTAGAGATCATCGCCAACGATCAAGGTAACAGGACCACCCCGAGTTATGTGGCATTCACGGACACTGAACGGTTGATCGGCGACGGTGCTAAGAACCAGGTGGCATTGAACCCCGTCAATACGGTATTCGACGCCAAACGGTTGATCGGCCGTCGCTTCGACGACGATAAGACGCAAGCGGACATCAAACACTGGCCGTTCAAAGTGGTGGACCACTGCGGCAAGCCTAAAATCCAAGTTGAATTCAAAGGTGAGCGGAAAGTGTTTGCGCCGGAAGAAATCAGTTCGATGGTTCTGACGAAAATGAAGGAGACTGCGGAAGCGTATTTGGGCCGTGACGTTACGGACGCTGTCATCACGGTGCCGGCGTACTTCAACGATTCACAGAGACAAGCGACCAAGGACGCGGGGGCTATAGCCGGCCTGAACGTGATGCGAATAATTAACGAACCGACAGCTGCGGCTTTGGCGTACGGCCTGGACAAGAACCTGAAAGGAGAGAGGAACGTGTTGATATTTGATTTGGGCGGTGGCACGTTTGACGTGTCCGTTCTGCAGATCGACGAGGGTTCCATATTCGAAGTGAAGTCGACAGCGGGTGACACACACTTGGGCGGAGAAGACTTCGACAACCGGCTGGTGTGTCATTTTGCCGAAGAGTTTAAGAGGAAATCCAAGAAGGATGTACGTACCAATCCGAGAGCGTTGAGACGGTTGAGAACAGCCGCCGAACGGGCTAAGAGAACGTTGTCATCTAGCTCGGAGGCCACAATAGAGATTGACGCTCTGATGGAAGGTATCGATTTCTACACCCGGGTGTCCCGAGCCCGTTTCGAGGAGCTGTGCGCAGATCTATTCAGATCGACTCTGCAGCCGGTGGAGAAGGCGTTAGCTGACGCCAAGTTGGACAAGGGTGACATACAGGACGTGGTGCTCGTGGGTGGTTCGACGAGAATTCCAAAAATCCAGAGTCTCCTTCAAAATTATTTCTGTGGCAAACCGCTCAACCTGTCAATCAACCCCGACGAAGCGGTAGCCTACGGTGCCGCAGTACAGGCGGCCATTCTTAGTGGCGACACGAGTTCTGCGATTCAAGACGTGTTGCTCGTTGACGTTACTCCCCTGTCACTAGGCATCGAGACTGCCGGCGGCGTGATGACTAAAATCGTCGATCGCAATTCCACTATTCCGTGCAAACAAACTCAAACGTTCACTACTTACGCGGACAACCAACCGGCCGTCACCATCCAGGTGTTCGAAGGGGAAAGAGCCATGACTAAGGACAACAATCTGTTGGGAACGTTCGACCTGACCGGCATACCTCCGGCTCCCAGGGGTGTACCCAAGATCGAGGTGACTTTTGACATGGACGCCAACGGAATTTTGAACGTGTCGGCCAAGGACAACAGCTCTGGGCGCTCCAAGAACATCGTCATCAAGAACGACAAGGGTCGACTGTCTCAGGCTGAAATCGACCGTATGCTCAGCGAGGCCGAACGGTACAAAGAAGAGGACGAACGACAAAAAGTCAAGATCGCTGCCAAGAACCAGTTGGAGAGCTACGTATTTGGTGTTAAACAGGCGTTGGACGAAGCCGGAGACAAGTTAACCGAATCAGAGAAGAATACAGGCAAACGGGAATGCGACGCGGTCGTCCAGTGGTTGGACAACAATCAGTTGGCAGACAAGGAAGAGTATGAGTACAAACTAAAGGAAATTCAAAAGAGCTGCTCGGCCCTGATGATGAAGATACACGGTACTGGACAAGCCGGCGATGTGCCTGCCGGTGCTCATGGATTCCCAGGTTCTAGAGGACCTACCATTGAAGAAGTCGATTAATTCCTTTAACAATGTAATCTTATTTACGCTTGTATATACTTACCATTGTTAACTATATCCTATATTTTGATTTCTACTGTAAGGTATTCACTAGATTTAAGCTAAGACTGATTTTTATATTGTAATATTTAAGTAAGTTTTTACAAAAAAAATATATTTATTAGCTGTATAGTCTGTATACATTTTGCCTTTTTATTTATCCTAGATAAAGTTCTTTGTATGGTATTTTATGTTGATGTAAAATGTTTAAAATATTATAGTAACTAGGTACCTACCAAATTGTATATTGAAAATTACAAAATTACAAATTGTTGTAAGTTGATCCTTGTATCCTGAATATAATTAATATTACTCTCAAGTCATAATGTAATAAATTTGAATACAATAAGCTCAAGAGGGGGGGGGGGTATTTACCCTATCACTCCCCTCCCCTTGATTTGCTACGGAGTGAGTATCACTTTGCTTGTACAGTAGGTGTCCAGAGTGATCATTAAAATGAATATGTTAAATTTGATTTTACATATTAAAATGAATATAATTCCTATAATGATATGACAATTTTCTCTATCATTCACATAATAGAGTTAAATAGATTATTCAAGACTTAAATTTTGTTATGTTATGTTATGTATTTGTAAGATGGAGACAATGCATGCAGTCGTGGGTGTACCGTAGTCCTCTAAACACTTTATTGGTTAAACTCAGTGCTCAAGGAATGCCTTCTTTGGTCCTTGGGTATATTACTTTGGCGTAAACCAGCAATGTAAAGGGGAATATTGCTTGTTAAAGAATCTAAACTGTTCCCTCAGTATGTGGTAATTGGTAATTTACACTTCTAAGGATTACTTCCAAAATTAGAAATTTAATGCATCCTATATGTTGTACATTTTAGCTCAAATGGTATTTCTAAGCATAGCAAAAAGATACCGACATTACTTAGAATTGTATTTTGAACACATAATTGTTAGTAATTGTTAATTGTAATCACTAAATATTTACATAATTTTGCTTTTGATATTATAGTTACGCGTGGTTGATAAAAAATATGTTTCTACTGGCTTTAAAGCTGCATTACTTACAATTTGGAATCCATCAGAAGATGTGACTGAGATCTTGAACAAATCTACTGAAGGTCAATGTTGCATATTCCATCATATTACTACTAATGGATTCATGTATGAAAACTTATAATGTCTAAATAAATCAATACCTATTGTATAAATTTAACTTAAAAACTTTATTAATACTTTGTTTAGGAATGGTGAACTACAATTATCAGCCAATAAAAATACTCGTTTTGATTTTCAAGGATATGAAAATGAATATGTCAAACGTGATGTAGTAAGCTTTAAAAGTATTTGGTCTTGTACATTTTTACCATTATTTGGTGAATTAGATTTAGTCGGTATTGTAGTATCAGACGTTAACAAAAATAATGCTTATAATGAAATCTATGTATCAGACAAAGAAATGAATATAATCAGTATTTTATTCCGAGGCAATATTAAGGTAGCTTATCAAAACTAAAAATTATGTTTATAATTTATAATATATTTTATTATTGTTTAGGAATATGGTTATGATGACATGATGTACCCTGGCAGTATAATTTCGGGAATTAATATTCAATTTAAAGGATTTAATCAAATATCTCCAATACCTAAGTTATATAATACAGAGCAATCTTTATTTACAACAATTCCTAAGACTGAATATATTTTAAATATTTTTGATGATTATAAAATGTTTATGAAAAAGCCGGAAGTAAGTGGTTTAAGAAATATAAATTATTATTTTACTGTGTTAAAATGTCATATGAGTACCTATGTTTAAATTTTTTGTTAATTATTGCATACACTTTGTCAGAGTGTCCTACAGGCTACAAACATATATTAATTTTGAACTATCTTGCTTTAAAGCAACATTTTGCAATAATAATAACTCTTTTGCTCGCTTAATTTTTATGACAACCTATTTCAAATTGTAATACTTAATTACTTTTTGTATTGCTAGTATTGACAAACTAATCAATCATATCATCATCTTAATTGTGTTAAATTTCAATTTGAGTAAACAACCTAGTACATATTTTGATATTCTCACAACATTCATTATTTTTAACAATACTTACAATAGTACTATGTAAGTAATCTCATAATAAAATATCAAATATGTGATAGAGTTCTTAATTTTGTCTACTATATCAATAATAATTTTGATTAAATGCTTAAACATTTAAAAAAGTAATACAAGTTATATTCTATAAGCCAAATTTTGCCGTCTGTTTTACCCAATATTTCTATCCTTGTTTCTTTAATAGCATAAATACTATTAAAAAAACAGTTTAACAGCTGACTTTTAAGCGTGTTTATTATTGTAAATGCCTCAATAAAATATGATACATAATATTAAACTTAAATAACATAAACTGATTTCACTTTTATAAATTGTAGATTTTATGAATTAATATTGAGTATAAAATAATATTTATTAATTTGAAAAAATCAATTTACAGAATCAAAATTTTCTGATATGCTGCCAAACTAAACTCAGTGAAATTTTTAAAAGACTCGGAGAAACAACAACAATGAATAATGAGCAATGTTTAAACAAATCTAAAACCGCATTGAATAAGTCATATGGTGAATTACCCATTGCCGTGGTAAAAACTTCTAATACATCTCAAACTGAATGTTCTCCAGCTCAAAAACGAATAAAAATGCTGAAATCTTTTGGAAAAACACCACCGTTAAACATTGTTCACACTAAACCACCAGATAAAAAGCTGTTGGGTCAATTTAAGACACCGACCCGGTTATAGACATTTATAAATGAATATATTTCATAAGTTCAACTATTAATTTAAGTTATAATAAATGTTTTTCTTAAAAGTATTAATTAATTATTTGTTGTTATATTAAATAGTGTACTATATTTTTTAAACCTACAAATTAAAATTGTGTTATTTAAAAGTGAATTCTTAGTACAAATGGAATATTAGTTAAATTTTTTTGAAAATGTAAATACCTAATAAAATACTAATAGATGATTTTGAACATACAGTACCACAGAATAGGTTAAATGACAGTATTACCTAGGTTATAAAATATGTGGTATAAAATAGTAGGTACTAATAATTTTTTGAGCTATGTGCTGGAAATCTTTTTAATAATGAATTATTCTTTTGTATGCGGTTATTTTTTCAGGTAACTGCAGATCCAAAATATAGACAATAGACATATACAATTTATATAAATTATAAGTACAAAAAATACTTATAATTTAAAAATATACATGACAGTGTTGCCTAATACCTAGTTTCTTAGACAGCTGTGGTTCCGATTGTTCCAAACCAAATTGAAATTGGCAGTTCAAATAACTTGAATAATCCACCTACCTCATCCAATATTATTACCACTCATCTAAAGACTAAAATCATTTTTGCATACTGCATAGTCATAGCTTAATATTTTAAAAGTAAAATGCTCACAGGAGCTTTTGAAAACATAGTGATAAACAAAAAACAATCTAAGAAAAAAAGAGAATTTTTACTTTAAACCAGTTTACAATATTTTAATAATAGTTAGACTCTTTTTGAGTCATTTATAGACATTTTCAATTTTCTTTCTATAAATTTCGATAGACATTTTGTATAAACATATTTGAAAATCTGCAAGGTTTCTCATAAATTGTTATTAAAGTAATTTAAAAATATTAAAGATACATACTACATAGGCTAAGTAGTAACATGGGTACAATTTTTTTAAATAAGGATTTGAAAATTTGTCAATTATATGATTTATTATTTTGTAGTTAAAAATGAACAAAACGTTGAATGTTTCATGTCTAATGATTGAAAATTGAATACAAAGTTTCTCATAAAGTCATAAGTAGTTCATATTGTAAATAAAAAATCTTAAAAATATATAATATACAAAGTCGTTTTTATAGAAATTTTTCAAATTTTTACGAAATTAGATATTTTAACGAAGTATAGGTAACAATCTCAGCTTATTTGTTGTAATTAAAAAATACAAGAGCACTTTTAAAGTATATAATTATATTTTTTACGGACAACCACGTTTTCAAATGCATTTATTTTCGGCAACAGGTAATTCAACTTTGGTTTTTTTTTGTCTTCAGACAGGCTAGGTTAGGTACGCTTACACAATAAATACCAGTCGAAATTATAATTCAATTTTCAACTTGACAAACTTTTCTGATGAGAGCGTCTGAAATCAAAATTTTTTTTACGAAATACCTACGCTTCTAAAGTTTATTGTGGCTGGCTCTGGGCGCGCTCGCTAGTGCTCTATGCTGCCCTAGGAGCCTTAGCGCAGTGTACCTACGTCAAATCCGCGCAGTGAGCCAAACATATAGCTATATAATTATTTTCAGGTGCCATCACCTGTCGATCACTATTTAAGATAGTTTATTTTAAATCGTGCTGCAATGTTGCCGATTAGCTTCGGAGAAGAGAGAGACGGACTCTGGCTTACAAGACGTCAAACTACTAAACAGAGGATAATAAAATGAATATTTAATTGAATAAATATTGATTTTACTATGGAACAGAGTAGGTACATATCTCGCTCTCACGGAATCGTTTATACTTATGGCCCGTGACTTCTATCACAAAAGTATATCCACAGCAATTAATATCCAATAGGTACCTAGTACGAACAATATCCAAGATTTTTTTTTTTTATTACTTAATTTGTATTTCCACAATCTGTTACATACATTTTGACCAATAAGTGAAATTGATGAATTAGATAACTATGGCGGGCGTGAAGGACGGATTAAAGATACCTTCCAGTGAAGGCACTTTTACAGACTTACAGTTAAAAATGTAAAAAAAAAAAGTGTTAAACAATGTTTACAATAGTAAATATCATAAGGAAAGATAAGTAGAAATAACCAAGGTAGATATAGAAAGAAGAACAAAAGAAGTTAGATTGGTCTAGACTAATAGGTCCCTACACCACCGCCTTTTCAACCTTTTTTGTGGGTTGCCGGGTAAATTTATAGACACAAGTTCTTTGATTAATATCCAAAATTAAATTTTAATATTTTATTAATCAACAAATTGAAATAAAATAAAATATAAAATGTAATACGTCATATAGTTCCATACTACATAATTATTACATCAAATCTCTAAATAAATTATGAGAACAGTAGAACTAGAACACCCAGACACCCTCATAGACAGTCTATGAACTATGAGTCATAGTTCATACATTGAGTCTACTCTCTACGTCTACGATTTAAATTATTCCACTCTTGTAAGTGGCTATGAATATTAACGGATAAACAGCCGCTACCATACCAGCTTTTCCGGTCACCAGTGCCAATCTGACGAAAAGAACTAACAATAATGCTTCCATGCTTTTTAATAGTAGTAGACGTAGACCTCAAGGCGCGTCCACACGACCACACCTGAGCACGCTCAAGATGAGCACCGCTCGCGCGCCAATTTCTTTTGAGCATGGCCAGGAGACCGTCAGTCAGTGGCTCACTGGCTCGTGCTCAGCATGGTCTGCCTCTCCGCGATCATGTTTGCGGGGTTTGAAATGTTTGAATCTGCTCACTTTACCGTCCACACACAAATTCATCGTTAACAATTGGCATGTATGCTCACCCTGAATACGCTCAGGTGTGGAAGCGCCTTTAGATCATATAGTATTATATATATTTTATTTTTTCTATTAGCTATACTATGATACCTGAACATTTACAATTATACACGATACTATTATGTATTATGATCTAATTGGTAGACATGTTTCACGACGTTCATGGCGTGCGTACAATAAATTGATCCTTTAATTTCTCAGTAGATAGTAGATACCACTACCGGAATTGTACGCGCTGGATTTCAAACATGCCTCAACATTGTGCATATAAGTTGGGTACCTACTTAGGCTTAACCTAGATTGTACCAACGATCAACCATTCCTGCAATAGGTAGCTGTTGGTATGTTTCCTAACGGAATCGGCTCATCAGCTCATCAGCTATTAGTATTATATAGGTATACGTACATTTCTGTTCAATTAGCGTTAAAAAACAAAATTGAAAATTTTGAATGGAAAAACACCAAGCATAGCTTACTTTACCTACATAGAGAACATACCTACATCCGTGTAAGAATAATGACAAAAAAAAAGTGTATTTATAGACATTTCAAAGTTCCCAACGATGACGAAAAGAACGAACCGATAAAATGGGCGAATGTAAGTTCCTACACGAGAGTAGCAGGTACACAAAATACATACGTTAGTTCCTACATGACGAAAAAAGGTACATATTAAAGTTCCTACGCGGTAAAAACCAGGTACGTATGTTAGTTACTGCGGAAAGGGTTAAATATGTATATTATACACAATTAAATATGTATATACGAATTTAAAAAAACAAATATATTATAATGATTAAAAAATATAATAAAAATCGTTTTTTCCCGTAATTTTGTATACGTTCTGCTTTAAATGAAGTATATTAATTTAATGTATATTAGTAAGCTACGGCTGGACATATTATTATTAAAACGATACGTCTGTGTATAATATACATATTTAACCCTTTCCGCAGTGTAGGAACTAACATACGTACCTGTTTTTTACCGTGTAGGAACTTACATATGTCCGTGTAGGAACTAACGTATGTAATTGTTTACCTGCTACTCTCGTGTAGGAACTTACTATTCCCCGATAAAATGCCTGAATCCCGTGCTCGAAACTCTTTTAAGGCGGGGGGCCCATACACGATCAAACCGTTTGCGCAAAAACATGGATGTGCAAACACACGTACATACACGGTAAAGCGGTTTGTGTGAATCTCAGTCATTAGTACGTTTTTGTATATTACGTAGACATAATGTCTGACACAGAAATTGCTTGCGCCGCGATAATTGTTGCCTGTTTGACCGAAAAGAAAAAAGAAAAACGAAAAAGAAAGCAGAGAATATGGATGAAGGAATACAGTAAATTCGGTGTATTATTAAATCGTAATAGATGATTCTCGAAGTAGTTGTAGCAACCCTATGCTTAAACCACAGAATAGGTGAATTTCACCTATTCTGTGCTTAAACTGCATAAACTGCAGTATGTAGAAGTTCCTTGATTTTTAAAACATCTGCCTTGATTGATAAAAAAAAAATGGCTGATTGGAGGGAAAAAGTATTTTGCTTTTTGTTAACAGAATACACTAAATACTAATTCCGTAATGGCGTAACAACAAATGGACGTTAATACCTAGTCTATTGCCTATTGGTATAATGTCGCTAATCGCTATTTTGGTTATTACTTTTTGAGTGCTTCAGTAGAGCTTGTGTGTTGAAACTTGAAAATACATGTGAGGCGTTTTTCCATTATAAACATTTAAACGTTTTTTCGTTAGTGTTGTGTTTTGTGTATTATAATTCAATACGTCTTGTTTTGAATATCTAGGTAGTTTTTTTAAAAACCATTATCATTTAATTTAATTTATACATCGTACTGACGTTTGCAGATTAATTGCATTTCAGTATCTATTATTTTTAGCATTTTAAGGATAAGCAGCATATTACTTCAAATTTACTTTCCGTGAGTATATTAACCTAAGCTATTGACAAATTAATTAGCTTATTATTATTAGGCATTTATTTTATTCTCAAATATATATCATCATAGGTACTTGGTGTTTAGGTGTTACAATCATGTTTGTACAGTGTACCTGCAATTAATTATCACTTATATGTACTATTTTAAGCATGGAGATTTGTCAATAATTTTAATGTTCACAGTTAATTTTTTACATAGGTAGTTTGTACCTATATAGTTTTTTTTATCAATCTAATTATAAACAACCTCAAAGGCCTCTTGTGTATAACATTGTTAGTAGTTTTATTTCTTCTATTGATGATTTTCTTTATCGTTTATTGCTATATAAGTTGTGTTTAGTGAAGATTGCTTTACCTATTCTATAGGTAAATGATTTCTAATTTGTGCATGTTACTGTACTTAAATGCATGTTATTATTTCATTATTTTTACTTTATATTTTATGAATATACCTACCTGTCAGTAGTACAGCTAGAGGGATATAATGTTGGGAGGAGAGGGGTTGTAGCCCACCACCTGATATTACCTGAATAGTAACCAGTGATATAATTTAATTGTATACAAAAAACGATCTTAGCAGAGATTGTTTGTCAGCCTAACATATTTTATATTATATTTGTATTGTTATTATTAATACAGTAGCCAGTAAGTTGAATTAATATTATGGTGGTATATAATAATATACTTAAGAAATTTCAAGTGCCCACAAATAATAATATTTTTAAATCACAAATAATAACTAAAATTGGTTTTCTTAGTTATTTAATGTGTAATTTCATCCAAATTTGAACTGAAAGAAAACTATAAAAAACACACGAAACAGTACATTCATAAATATCTGTTTGTATGAGATTGAAAAAAAAAAGATTAAACTGAAAGTATCATCTTAGAGTGTGATTTCCATCATATATTTGTATTGTTCTGTATATGATAATCAATTATTAAACTAATTTAAATTAATAAGCAGATATTTTTTGGTGTATAAAATAGTCTACTATTAGTCTACTTAGGTACTTATAACTGTGTATTAACTATTAATTAAATGGATTAATATGATTGTTATTAAATATTATACATCACAATATTAGATTGACAAATTGACAATTAAAAATATTAAGCATTGTCAATACAAAAATAAATCACTATAAAAATATAATATATTTTTTATCTCTTATGCAGATATCAATAACATCATGGCTAAAGTGCAGCTGTCAAATGTGGTTGTCTTAGATAATCCATCTCCATTTTTAAATCCTTTTCAATTTGAACTTACATTTGAATGTATTGAAGATTTAAACGAAGGTATTTTTAAAGAATAAATACACCCATTAATTTCAGATGACTTTTTCATATATTATGTTTTTTAGATTTGGAATGGAAAATGATTTATGTTGGATCTGCTGAAAGTGAAGAACACGATCAAATACTTGATACTATTTATGTTGGTCCGGTTCCTGAAGGAAGACATATGTTTGTTTTTGAAGTAATAACCTCAATATATTAATATTTAATTTTCTAGTTCTATCATTAAACGTTCACATATTTTTTAGGCAAATCCTCCAGATGTTTCTAAAATTCCTGTAGAAGACGCTGTTGGTGTAACTGTTGTGCTATTGACTTGTTGCTATCGCAATCAGGAATTTGTTAGAGTTGGATACTTTATTAACAATGAATATACAGATCCAGAGCTGCAAGAAAATCCTCCAGCTACACCTCAATTTGATAAGGTAAAAAAATATTTATAGAATTTAGATATCGAAATATTTATTTTAATAATTTAATAATTATTTATATTATAAAGTCTAGTAATTTAATGTAACCCAACTAATAATATAATATATTATAGAATTAACATTTTTTTTAAAGTAATTTTATCAAATTATAATGAATACTAATACAAACAGATACTCATGATGATTTATTTTAAAATGAAAAATATCAACACATTTTACATTCATCAACTAATTTTTAAATTTTTATTAAAATATTGAATCTTAATAATCTGGATGGATTAAGTCATGAACATAGTTTTTATCACTACCAATTTTATATATATAAACATGTAGAACAAGAGTCGGCATTCTGTGGCTCTTAAGGTTATGGTTCTACATTGAGATTTGTATTCTTTATACAAAATTATAGTATATAATAATTACAGATAAATATCTTCAGAATTCATTCTTACTTCTTTATAGTATAACTTAAATATTTTAGTACTGTCATTTCTGTTAGATAAAGTATTTTTTTAATAAATGTAGGTTATATCCTACATACTCTATTAGTGACTTAAAAAAAAGGTTCAAACCAATAAGGCTCATAAACATTATGGATTTGTACATTTTTACCCCTGATCTATTCATTACTATTATCTACTATTTGAAAATATTTTTCATATTTTCTAAGGTGCTATTTATTGTGTTGTATAGTATATATGTATTTTTTAAATCTACATATGATTTTATTTACTTTAGATGACAAGAAATATATTGGGTACTGAACCTAGAGTAACAAGATTTAAGATTAATTGGGATGACTCCGAACAACCTACTACTAGTAATGGAATACAATCTACCTGTCATGAAAATGAAGATTCAAACCTACAAGAAATGGATGAAGAAGTGTCATCTTTGTTATCTTCCCATGCAGACAATAGCCTTAGTCAAAGTCCAATGGAAGTATTGTAAATCGACTGATCCAATATCTCATCTATCATAATATCAATATTTTTTCTAAGTAATACATTTTATAAGAAAAAAAATAAAAGAAATGTTAATCATGTAATAAATTTAAAAGCAATTAATATAAAGTTGAAATAAAATAAAGACGTTTTTTATTCAATTTTGTTAAATAACTTCAGCCCTTTATTTTATATCTTAAATAAATTATAGAACACAATAAAAAAAAAACAATATTGTATTAAAAAATTAGCAATTTTATACAATGCATGGGGTAAATATTTGTATTATTTATAACTCTTCCTTGACGTAAGAGGGTTTTAATTCTTCAACTCTTTTGATGTAATCTGTCTTCTCTAAACAACCATCACAAATTTCTCCCCAGTTATCCAATATTTTCTTCAAATCTTTCACTTTCATCTTCTTCAGGTTTACTGTTTTCCAATCGATTTCTTTGTCTAAAATGAAATAAAGTTTGTTAGCAAAGTGGCTGAATATTAATAAGTAGAAGTATAAAAATAAATGAGTATAAATATAAAAAATAAAAAAATTTCCAACATACCATATTTAATATCGCACACTTGAGCATCCATTTTCTTTAAGCGTTCACAGATTTTAAGAGCTGGCATAGACCATGATAAAGGTTTAGACATTTCACTTAATATACCAGTTGCCGAATCTTCTAATCCACCCAAATAGTAACACTAGAATTATGAATAATATGAAATAATACATAAATGTAAATTAAGTATTATACACTGTAAATAAAATAATACAGTTTTTTCTACAATATAGGAAAAAAGTGCTATAAATTCACAGAGTGATCTATTTAAGTGACTACACTTATTATTTCTAAAAGTTTTAACTTTTTAAAAATATTATTTTTGTAGTTCATTTCTGAAAAAAATATTTTTTTTTACTTTTCTAGATGACTCCATACTTTTTAATTATTATATTGTTAAGCAAAAATATTATTCTGAGTATTACAATTTGTCTCTAACAATTGTTTAGTACTAGTCTTTTTGTTACGGGCATCCCATATGAGCCGGTGATAAATGTATAAGGCTAGGTAACGCACATTTTGAGCAGTTGGGAGAGGTTGCTTGTTAAATGTGATAGAGGGGCAGTTTATGGGTCTGAGTGTGAACGTGCAGTAGATGGAATGGATTTGTTGAGTTTAAATCCCCACTCTTTGTACCATGCCGAGAGCACGTAGAGGTAGGTTTGGGTTCTGTTGGATGCCTTGAGAGGGTCATGGTTGAAGGCTAAACTTTGGGATATGAAATAAAAAATGTAAAGTGTCATTCCAAAAAGTAAAATACTTAAGAAATTGTAAGATAAAAAATATAATTTTCTTCAGAAATGCTGCTTTTAAATGACGTAAAATACTATTAAAGGATATTTTCCAAAAAGTTGAACATTTTTTAAATATTGAGTGTAGGCGCATGAATGGATCACCAGGTATATCATATATAGATAAGTAGTTAAAACAATTTTTGACACTTGAATCTTAGGAATTTTACTATAATAAGTTGCAGTACTGTTTTCTTTTGAGACAATATAGGATTTGCAAACAGTTGTTGTAGTTAACATGCCTGATAACTAAATGCAAATTTTGGATATTTAAAAGTAAGAAATGTTAGTGAACTGACTATTTTTTGCCATTTGTACTTGAAGATTGGAACTGATGGTATTGTTTGTGATTTAACAAAATGTTTTTGAAACTTGTGCTATGATAAAAGGTATATTCAATTTTTAAACAGGTGTTGATAGATTGTTTTTAAGCTGAGATAGGTACAACAAAAAATTAACCACTGAAGTTTCAATTAAATAAGATTTCAAATGCATAAATTGCTACCTCTAAGAAACTTTTCGAGGACTGTTTTTACCCAAAACATATTTCCTCAGAAAACAAAAATAATATTGTTCAGAGATAAATTTCAATAACTGAGAACAAAACACATCTAAAATGTTTGACTCTTTTTAAGGTGAAAATATATTTTATTTGAATACCTACCAGTCTTTTTTCCTTATCAATCTTTGTAGACAAGCAATACTTTCTGAACTGTTCTTCAATGTTTTTTGGTTTCAATTCACCTTCAATTGATTTTGCAAACTTATCAATTGTGAGTACACAAACTATAAATTTAAATTAAATTATAAATTAGATATTTCTTAAGATTAACATAATCACAATAATATTGAGTTACTTACCAGGACAATCTTCTTCAGTAAATGTTCGCGATTGCGCTTGGAATACATTAACAATGAAGTACACACATACGAACAATATGTGTTTATCCATTGTCAAATATAATTTTACAGCACAATATTCAGAATTATGTCAATTTATTAATTTTTATAAATTAACTAAACACTATAATGATATATATACATATATTATAGAAAAGTACAGAGATTGAATTCAAGCTATCGAATTATTTTAGTATTTTTTAAAAAGTTGTGAACGACAATTAATAATTTTTAACTTTATTGAAGCGGCAACATATTTTTAAGACACATCACAAATTTTGAACTTATCAAATACATGTATAATGGTATTCTACTGTTCAGGCCGTTCAGGGATATAATCCAAACACGACTTGGCGAAATCTCATTGGTCCGACACTCCGGTATGATTGAAGTATGGAACGCGCAAATTATATCATACCCATAGAATGATATATACAACAATCAGTTGTGCGGTTATCAAATATTACTTCATTAATTCGTGATAATTGCCAATTGAAAAATGATAAATGAGTATTAAGATTTTGGATTTCTTTTTCTAATTCCTTAGTCCTCAAGGTATTATACCTTGTCACATTGATAGTTAATCCAAAATCCAGATACTCAGTTGATCGTTAATTTCTTGAGCATTGATCCTTTTGTGATCACGTCATCTTAAAAAAATAGATCCTTACGAAAGATCAAAGAATTTTTAAATCAAAGTGGAAATGTGAAATCCTTGTACTTAATAGTTTATCTATTATTTATTTTATTTTTGTTCTATAACATTCAATACATTTTTATTCGTTAAAATATTAATTAGTTTTTTTTTTTAAGTCTAGATTTAGATTAGTTTTATAATTATAACGATAATTTTTAATGTAAAATTAGTACTTGGTACATAACGACTTGTTGTTAACATGTCGATTTTGTAAGTATTCTATGCATCTATAGTAAAAAATGTAAAATGGTAAAAGTCCTATGTTCGTCCTGATATACATTATACATATTAGAACAAATATAAGGTTTTATAAAAAAGTTATGTAGGCATGTACAATAATTTTGTTTATGCCTACGCACATTTATCAATTTTCTGTAACACACCTAGTTTTAATAATTTATGGTGATCTTTTATTTTATAGTATACTATTTTTTTTTTCATGGCTTATATACCATGACGGCTTTTTGGGGCCTTTACCACGTCCCCCTACAGATCTCGATCATCCACATCCTCATTTAGTATACTATAGTGTTTGTAATCAATGGTTCTACCTTTAATTTGTTTTGTTTTCAATCCTCATATTATCAAAATTATTATTTTTTATGAGAAATATATACCTAAAAAAATGCTGTGCGTCAAATTATTCAAGGAGAGGGTGGTATATATATTAAAAAAACTACACAATATAAAGTAATTACTTACATTAACCAAACAGTTTTAAAATATCATTATAAAAATGTTATCCTAGAATTTGTATATTTTTTTGATTTATGATCAAACTTGTTAAATACAAGTGACAACCATATTATATATAGCTTTAAAATTAACCATATATCTGTTAATATATGTCTATGGTTGATCGGTCTGTAGCTCACATTGTTTGTACATTTATTGTTTTATATAATAATTAATAAGCCTAATTAGATGGGGTACCTTAAACCAAATCTAACCCCCCTCACCTTTCGTATATAGCATACATGCCATAAACATTTATCAGTTAAAAATTTTGTTTTAGGATTGACAAGAAAGGAAAAAAAAATACCCGTAAGCCAGTAGATAGCGAGCACATACAACATGCAGAGTTCATTAAAAAATGTCATCTAAAATTAAGATTAAACTCTATGAAAATAGGTGCTGACGAAGCATGGCAAAATCACTGCTCTGATGATTCACTTTTAAAAGTAAAACAATTTTTTTTGTATTCTTCAAATGAATACTTGGTTGATATTTATTTATTTTACTTGCTTTTTTGTTGTATCACCCTAACTATAACTTTAGACGTTTACAATTTGCCTGTATATATAAGGTATATTTATATATTTCAGAATTATTCAAATACCATGCACAAGCTTGCATCACAGTTTTGGGATACGAATAATAAAAATGAACCGTCAAGTTGTAGAATCTCATGGATATCACATAACATATTAAAATATTTTCAGGAAGATTATGTAAATGAAATAATCCGTGAAAAATCTTTAGCGCAACGATTTAATGTATTTTGGAGTATTGATGATTTAACCTCTATGCCTGAAAATCCTTTTTATCTACTTGATGTAGGAAGTTGTTATAATCCTTTTCAAAAGTATTTATCATATAAAGTGTTGCCTATAGATATAGCACCAGCTATCAAAAATGTTGTTAAATGTGATTTTCTTACAGTACCTCTGGATATAAAGTTAAATATTTTTGATAATGTTTGTCAAACATTACCACTGTCCAATTTTGATATAGTTGTTTTTTCTTTATTTCTTGAATATTTTCCATTGCCAAAACAAAGATATAAATGTTGTGAAAAAGCTTATAGGGTTCTTAAACCAGGTGGTTTATTAGTTATTGCAACCCCTGATTCTAGCCATGCATCATATAATTCCAAAATAATGAAAAATTGGAAAATATCCTTAAGTAATTTAGGATTTTGGCGTATCAAATATGAAAAACTAACTCATATACATTGTATGGTGTTTAGAAAATGTTTATTTAAACAAATTCCCAAAAATTGGTTGCACTCTTTGAATATTTTAAATAACATTGAAGATTTAATAACTATCCCACAAGACTCTAGAAATTATGAAAAAATTAATGAAACATCAAAAACTATAATACAGCGTGAAGATGATGATGATGTTGCTAACTTATTTTCTGAATTAGTTAATGTATAAGTAAAGTATTGTTAAAAACAATTTTGAACTTTTAAAAATTTTTTTTTTTTAAATTATAGTTATAAGCTTAATACTATTAACCTGTAATAATGGGTTATTATTATATATTTGTGTTTAATTTGTTTTCTACTCTTTTAGAAATAAATTGGAAAATTAAATATTTATTTTTTGAACTTATGAAAAACCATCTATTCTAACTTAACACTTTGAATACCAATTTTAAATTCTTCGAGTTAATTTTAAATTTTTTAAGGAGACTTTACACTTTCAGTCAAAAGCGAAACATACATTGTTAGTATTATACAACAATACAACACTCAAAAATAGCGTTGTGCACTTATACCAGTATGTTGGCTTCGGTATTACCTACCAATTACCATAGCAGTGAGAACATGTGTAATAAACAATACACCAGTCTTATTGATTCCATCCTTGAAAGTTGAAAATCCTTGATGGCCTGATATCTGAAACTTGTGGTGAAGACGTGTAAGCTACAGGCATCTATGAAACAATATTATTCCCATAGACACAACGAGAAACTGAAGTATTTCCTGCCCCCTGGCACTGTTTAAAAAATCAACAGACGAAAATTCTCAATATTTTTCAAAAGCGTTAAGAAATAAAAACAAAAAAATTAGGTACAATTTATATTTTTACAAAAGTGCAACTAAAAAACTAATAATTGTAGATACCTACCTACTTTAAATTGTCACCAAATGTTAATATAGGTAATCATTTTTTAGATATGATAAAATTTGTATGTATAAGTAATTTCTGTGTTCATAAAACTTTCGAAATATTGCAATTATTTTTTAGCTCTTTGTAGACATAAGAAAATAAAAAGGCAAAAATGTTAGTTTTTTTTTTTAATTATGTCGATACATTTTCTTTTTAATTTTTAGTCGATCAAAAAAATTTAAAACCCAGTACAACATTCTTCAAAAGTTGTAGTTAGTGGAAATAAAAAAAAATTTGAACGTAAATCCTAAATAATTTTTTATGAGCATCTGAAGTTAGAATTTTGACAAAATCACGAAAATTAGCAAATTACTAACGAGTAAAAAAAATTAAATTAAATTCATAAAAAAAGTCCATCTAAAATTTGAAATGTGTATACAAGATTCCCTTTACTATATCTACTATATTTAATAATAAAAAAAATTTAGCAGCTTTAAAAATTAGACATTGGATATTCACCCGTTAATTAACAAATTCTTATACAACGATTTTCTTATTTTGTTGTTATTCAAAAACTATTAACCGTAGATGAGTACTTGCAATTTTCAACAATTTTTATTATATCAATTTCTCTACAAGATAACATTTAAAAAATATTTTGACTCGTTTGGAAATATTTATAGACATATGACATTTTCCAATTTTTTTTATCCTATAAATGTCGATAAAATGTTATTTGTTGGTCTGTTGGATCAAAAAGCTTGAAATTATAATACAAAGTTCCTGATAAGTTGTTATAATAGCAGTCGGGAAATATTAAAGATCCATAGGCACGATTTTTTTTATAAGTACCTATTCAACACGTTAACTGCCATGTGCTCGCGTGCAGCCATACACCTACTGCAATGTTCAATATCAGATATCTATAATCTATATAATTTTATGCCAGCAAAGCGTCTATAGTTCATCATTACTACCACGCCTTATGACCCCCGGAAACCGTAAATGAATTGGTTTCATATTATTAACTTTTCCATGGCGCTACAATAATTGTCCAAAAAATGTGCAGTGGTGTAGTGAAAACCATTTAAATTTTTTTGATGTAATGCACATATTTTTTTTATAAAATATTCAAATTTGAAATGACATGGAAAAATATGTTTGGCATATCAATGATACAATATCGTACTGCGTATTAAGTTTAAATTTTAAATTTTTACTACATTTTGAAAATTCTCATTTTTGTATAATTAAAAAAATTTTAAAATGTTTAATTTTTAGAAGCAAGAATTGAAAATTTACAACAAGAATTCCCATAAATAATTTATACTGTAACTAAAAATCTAAAATTATACTTAAACACAGTTATTTTTTACAGACATTTTAAGTTTAAATTTGGGTGAAATTACATATTAAAACCAACTACCAAGAATAACTATCAAAGTTATTTTATTGTAATTTAAAAATATTATTCGTGAGTACTTGAGACTTTTAAATTATATTATTATAGTGTTCAATTTTCAATGTACAATCTACTCTGTAGGTACACACCACACACATCAGTGACATTTTCAAATGCATTAATTTTGCCAAAAAAAAAAATTCAACCTTTATACTGATGCCTAGTAAAATTAATTACTTCAATCACAATGACACAATAATATCATGAGATTGATTTTAACATTATAGGCTGACAGATCGTCTTCGCCCAGAACCGTTTTTCGTATACAATGATTTTATATAATTGAATTCAAATTCAACACATCCATTATAATTTATAGTGACTCTCTAGACACCTAATGTAGAGCAGCGTTACCCGCTTTTATATCTTGTGATTTGTAGATATTAAATTAAATATGAATAAACTATGCTTTTTTATATTATCTTCTGTTTAACTCCTTTTCGATGCAAATCCATAAGAGTTAAGGTTTATAGCTGCCACATAACCTAAACGTCGAAGTAGTTGTTAGAGGGTGAAAAAACATTAGTACTTGGGTGCAAAATTTCTAAATACGTCTCTGAAATGTTTTATACCTATAATAGTATTATGACTCTATTAAAGCAGTTTGAGTATTAAGTAGCTACAATCATCATACATTAAACTTATTATACACAACTTCACTAACTTTATTTATTTCAATGTATATTATTGTAATATACCTAATAGGTAGGTAGGTTCTTATACCTATGTATATACATATATAGGTAGGTATGCATAATAAATGTATGATCATATCAGAGAACAATCATGGTACTTTGCGACCGGAACGTACATGTATTTTCATGTTTGATACAAAACTACAAACCATACAATTGTAGATAATACATTTTTAATTCCTATTAATAGGTATTATTTTATATTTATCATAAAGGTAAGGCTTGGAAGTTGAGAGTTGAGAGTGTAATTCAATCAACACAGACATACCTACCATTATTGCAGGTTACAGGTTTATCTGCAATGTAGGAACATAGGTAGTATTATTATGAAGATGTAAGTGTTCAGATGTACGTCTATTGTCTATACATCATAATACATAGGTAGGTGCAGTGTACACTATATGTCTATATAATATTGTAAAATATACATTTTAATAGACTATTGGACATTGGCATAGTAGGTATACAATAATATGAGTTAAAACTAAATTTGTTGTAATTTATATGAAATAAACACAATAAATTATTCGATATTAAAATATTTTGTGCAGATAATATACTTAGTAAATACTAAATACCTACGAAAAGTTGAAAAAACCCACCATTTCACTATTATCAATATAACTAAATATTTATTACTAAGTAGAGGAGATGAAAATAATCTATCTGGAAAATTGAAACAGTGACATTTTTAGTATCGGCCATCTGCCATAGAAAATTAGAGACAATGTATACGTACAATGGCCCTGCCCCCTTCCCCAGCGAGTACTGACGAATTAAAACACTTAAAACTGCAGTATAGTTTGTAAATATATTTTTGAAAATAAATATAGTAACTCGGAATGGACGAATTACTGAAAAAAAACCAAAAGAATAAATGACCAAATCTTTATATTTTGCTAAATTATGTTATATACTCATATTTCATTAGACATAATTACATAAGTTTTAATTTTCTAATTAAATATTTAGATCAATAATCAAATTGACCCGGTTCTATTACGAGCTACCATAAGAATAAAAAAAGATAGATACCAACATTATTCGTTATATTGTATTTGTATATAATACCTACTTTTTTTGATTCGACATCGGACCTAAAATCTGTTTGACTTATTTAGACTGTTAAGATAATACATGCACTGATGCATCATTTTATATTAAGTATTAGTGTATTAGGTACCTATAGTGGCTATAGTTTTTATACCTTCAGATTTTTTAGTTATTAATTGTTACGCAGTGTAGACGTGTAGTATAAGTAGTATAACATTGGAAATTGAACTGATATCATTGAATTGTTGTCTTTTAAGTGATTTTAACTTTTAAGTTGTAATTTTCAAAGAGTTTGCGTTTGATTATGAAAATAATTACATCAATACATCAAATAAATGCAAAGACAAATTAAAGTTTAAAGGCTACCTATATGTTATATATGTTTGTTATAAGACATGTAGGAAAAAACTATTATGCATGGAGATGTAATAAAAAAAGTTCTCTGAACTGTCCAGCTATTATCCACACGTCGATACCTAACCCTGCTGGCTGCTGAACAATCAAAAATTTGCAAAAGCCGTAGCCCATAGGTAAATACAATAAAAGAGACTGTGAAGTGTTCTGGAGCTAATATTTGTCAAGATGTGTGCTAGAGCGGAAGAGTCATTAAAACGAACTATCAGACACCATAAAAAAATAAAAGTCCTATAGATTCAGCTGTTCTAGATGAACTTGAGATTTTAGAAAAGTCCATTGATACCTATTAAAGCTTAAAGTATTACGAAGTATATTTTTTGATATTATTGTTATTAAAGTATTGACATTAATAATACGCTAGTCATTAATATAGTAGATTAGCTAAAAAAAATTGCATTTGAAAGTGTCATTGTAATGTGTGTATACAATATAATAATTCATAATATAGGAACCTACTTTAAAAATTTCAAGTACCCGCGAATAATATTTTTAAATTACAAGATATCTGACCAGAGGTTAACTGGTAAGTTTGATTATTGATCTAAATTGTTAATTAAAAAATTTAAACTTATGTCTGATAAAGTATGATATAAAATGGTAAAATAAAGAAATTTGGTTTTTATTTCTGTAGTTTTTTTTCAGTGATCTTTTTTCCTTTAATTTTGTAATTTTTTTGTTGGTTTTTTCTGTCTTCCGAGTGAGCACATAACTAAATAATTAAAATATAGTTTTAATACATGTTTAATATAGGTATCTTCTACTCGTACTAATGAACTAATGACTACTATAATAACTTTTTATTTTTTATTTGAAATAAACAATCTATAGGTACAGGTAATGTACAATAATAAGCTTATGT